ACTCTACTCATTCTTACTTGTTCTGTAAGCTTGCAAATGTTAGTTTATAGTGTTAAAGAAAGTCCCTTGTGCCCCCAAAACAATAGGGTGTTGTGTTGTAATGAGATTTAAATATCGATATCGCGATGACTTCATAGGTCCAGCCGCAAAGGTTAACGATCTCCGATTACGTCTTGGTTCTTCCGGTTCACAAGATTGTCCATGGAGGCCGCATCGCACAATTCGACTTATCCTTCAAATTAATTGATTTTCATGTACTAGCGGGAACTTTTTCTACCTCATAAGAATTCGCGTGATCTCAAATTGGGTCCGACTAGTATTCATTATTCTGCTCTGTCAATTCATGATTCCACGTCTTAAGTCTCAACTAAAAATATTTGGCCGTTAAACTTTTAATTAATGAATGTAATCAATGTACATAATGCAGGACTAAGAATTGGTATATTTGTCTTTAGCAGTAACATTGTCTCTTCAACGGGAAGCGATGCTAGATGCAATTACTGAGATATTTGTAGGCGTAAGGCTTTCAAAACTATAGCTTTCTCGAAGTTTGGCTAAGAAATAAAAATAGGAACCCAGTGAGACGTAGAAAAAAAAATAATTCTTGTGTAACAGTGAATTTTTATCATGTCATAATTTCGAAGACTTACCCATCAGACTAAAAATAAATTAAACCCATAACAAGAAGTACTGAGGTTTAGGCTACACCACAGTGTCGTCCATATTTCAGAAAACGCTTCGCATGCCATAAAGAAGCAAAGACCGACTGCATGGTACATTCACACTGATTGAAAATGGAGACATTTCGGTGATGATGATTATAATGATAACGATTATAATCAATTAAGATTTAATTAAAACGGATTGAAACAATTATTGACCAGTTACTCACAAAATTGACGCAATTTTCACCACAGGTACATATATACGAATATAAAAAAAACTTAACATTTGAAAGCGAAAAATTTAAAACTTTAATTTGATTTTGCCACTTAAATGTTGTCAAAAAGTATGTATAAGAGCATAGAAACAGATGTTGTCAACGCATTCTTATTGTTTAGACCCCAAACAGCCTGAAGGAAAGACGGAATGTTAATTTTGCTGACATAGCGGTGTTGCACTTATATTTATCGACGCATTTAATTAACTAAATTACGATGAAGCTGCCGTATTGGCGCACGGCTTCATTCATGCAGCAGGAATGTTGTTACAGCGGCGCTACAGCCCGCAGATTCGCCGCCCTCTCACGGCGCACAGATGCTACGTTTCCGCCGAACTTTGCAGCGCCCTGACTCGGCCTGTCACTTGTAACCTCAACACGTGACCTTACCTCGGCCTGACATCCAGGAAATATAACAGTTTTTTGGTGAGTCTGGTTCTCTGTTACTACCATTTCCTTCTAATCTCTGTAGTCGATATAAAAGTATCACTATTTATGGTTGACATGTACACTGTAGGTCAATAGCGCAGGGAACGCTGCTTGTAATGTTGTGAATGGAATTCAATATGTCGGGTGATCGACTTATTGCTTCTTCGATCCTTTCTTTGTGGTGCAAAACACAGCAAAAATATCAATAAAGGTGGAAAAATACATTGCGAATATGTGTAGACAGCACTAAAAATATTCTAAAAATTACCAGATCACTAAACAAATGACAGCACCACCCATGGTTGGCACCACCTAAGCTCGAATCCAAACCTCGCTGTAGTTAAAAAAGAATTCAGTTAATAATATTTAAAATAATCTATGATAATTAGCAAAATATGGAGGGCATGAGGTGCAGATGTGGCTATGTACGCCCCAGAAACTCTCATGGCAGGAGGTCATAACAGGACCAGCTTACCTCACCGCCCACCGCAGGCGCGTTTTTGTCTCGGCGGAACGGTGCTCTTTTCTAGCGCATCGCCGGTTTCGGTCCGCAGATCAGCCTAGATTTTATAAACTTGAATCATGTCACCAACGAAGTAAACAATTACATGGCAGATTGAGAGGCGATTGGTGCTTTTATTTCAGTCGTGAATCACAAAAAATGAATAAATTCTTTTATAGCGTAGAAAAATATTTCCTTCTACATTCAATCACAAAATTCAGTCACTGAAAAACTCTCTAATAATTTAGCCTATAGCCGATTGGCCAAGCCCACGTTTTCAAAAACGTAAAAAAATTCAAATTTCAAAAAAAAAAATTAAAATCTCTCTTTATTCTTTGGTTCAGTGTTACGCAGTGAAATTATCATACTGTATCTCCCGATAATACGTCATTAAATAGTCTAATGCACGTAGATTAAAAGATATTATTCCGATGCATAACAAGGCAGTTTATTTCGACTTTTAATCTTGGAAAGTGACTAACGACCAAAAAGGATATAATTTGATTCTATAGAAATAAATACATGAATCTAATTCTTTAGAATGACTCAGGTACAGTCACAACTCACACGAATTCAAGTCACACTCGAGGTATTATCACGTTTGAAGTTTTATCACGTTCGAAGCCTTATCATGTTCGAAGTTTTATCACGTTTGAAGTCTTATCACGTTCGAAGTCTTATCACGTTCGAAGTCTTATCACGTTTGTTTGACGATTTGTACACAACACGTGCAGCACATGACTCTCATCGATGGTTTTTTCACCCAGATCTGTTTTTCTTAACTTCTCTTGGGTTTACGTCTCGGACAAATTAACGGTCGGACTCGCGGCCAATTTCCAAATTCAATGATCAAGGAATATCTCTCAAACAAATGAAATTACTCGATGAAACTTGGTACACGTATTCCTTAGGAAATAACGATAATTTTTAGCTCGTGAAAATTGTTTGAATTTTGCCATCGTTTGCTTTTGCCATTGTTATATGACAATACGGCTAGAAATTCACAGTGATCAAGTAATTTCTTCCAAACTACTGAACAGCAAAATTTTGAATTTTCAGTCCTAACTACCGAACGGTAATATTTAGCTCGTGAAAATTTTTTCGATTGTGCCTTCGTATGCTAGTTTTTTTTTCATTTCACCTTCATTCGTGATTTAAACAGCAATACGGGCTTAAATTCGCAGTAACCAAGAAATTTTTTCCAAACTACTGAACAAATTTGAACGAAACTTAGTATATAAATACCTAACCTCAGCAACGGTGATGTTTAGCTCGTTACATTTTTTTTTTGTTTTACCTTCGTTTGCGAGTTATACGGCTATACGTATAAGGCTCTTGGTTAAACCGGCGGTAGAAAAGCCGGTCGTTCCTCGAATATCTGTATAACTCGCGAACGAAAGCAAAATAGAAAAATTGTCACGAGCTAAATATCACCGTTGAAAGGTTAGGTATTTATTTACGAGCTAAACATCACCGTTAGGTTCTGATGAATAAAGGTTCTAAGTTTCATAGAGCTGCGTTCATGAGTTTAGATAAATTACTTGAAAATTGAGTTTGGAGATTGGTCGTGAGACCGGCCACCAGTCCGGCCGTAAATTCGCCCGAGTTTCTAATGATAAAACAGTTAAAACAGCTGAAAAACATATTGGTTCACTAAATGGGGTTCTATTTGTGAAAATAGAACCCCACCTTTATCTTTTAAAATTGAATCGTACTAAATTGCAAGAAAGAGGCGTATGCCTGTAGGGGGCGCTAGAAATTCACTAGAGAACCAAAGGGGGCGCCAGCCTGAAAAAGTTTGGGAACCACTGATTTAGCCGATAGCCGATTGGCCAAGCTTACGTTTTAAAAATTCAAATCTCTCTTTCTTCTTTGGTTCAGTAAATACGGAGTTACGCAGTGAAATTATCATACAGTATCTCCCGATAATACGTCATTAAATAATCTAATGCACGTACGTTAAAAGATATTCCGATGCATAACAAGGCAGTTTTTTTCGACTTTCAATCTTGGAAAGTGACTAGCGACCAAAAAGTATATAATTAGATTCTATAGAAACAAATGCATGAATCTAATTCTTTTGAATGCCTCAGGTACAGTCATAACTTAAAAGAATTCAAGTCACACTCGAAGTCTTATCACGTTCGGAGTCTTATCACTGTGGGATTCATTTCATGTTCAGACTTATATCACTCTCAAAGTCAAATCTAGTATACTCTCAAAGTCAAATACTTTCAAGTCAGTTAAGGACTCGAATAATGCGCGAAGTAAAATCAAATCCTTTCATATATGAAGCTTATTATCATATATATCCTATCGTACATGATTATCTACATATATTATATAACCATGTATGTTATCATCACGCTTGGAATAAATTCGCTCTAAGTGAAGAAAAGAATCTGGTAACTGAATGGAAAATCATCGACGTATTTTTCTTAGCAAATCTCTCGTATTGTTCAGCCAAGTGGAAGCTCAACGGCACGACAGCCGCTAGCCGTGAAATACCTCAGCGTATAATAACCCTCGATCAGGTGGTCCGGCTTCCGTTCTAGCCTCTTCCAAATCTAATTTTTCATCGACTAATCGAGTAATTTAAAAATTCCTTCTCTGTATCAACATAGCCGGTTGATAAGGAAACGTTCTGAAATATTTACGGTGCACGGTGCAAAGGTCTCATTTGGGCAATGATCAATTCTCTATTTTTCAGATAAAACGATCGTTCTTGTCCTTCAGGAATTGAGCTCATCATATTGTAAAACATTTGTCTTACTGACAACTAACTAACCAACTAATTGTATTAATCAAACAATAGATAATTCATACATAACGCCACAGAATTCAACTATCATGTGAACTTGTTCACCACTATGAATTATTAGAATACGTGCATTAATAAAAACGCTGTGATCCGTCTCTAGAAAACTCGTTGCTTACTGCAACGGAAGGTAAAACTTAATTCATCAATTGTCACGTACAAGTCGTGTTCACTCAATAAGCTGGTATCTCACTTAGACAATACACCGTAAAAACTATACTATCTTCATTCTATTGAAATTTCAACAAAAATGATATTGTTACGGTGTACAAGAATGTGTCAAGGTTACTAAAGCAAATGAAAGGGCCCAGTTAACAAGCCACAATAGATTTATTATTATTCAACAACGGAGAAAAAAGTACACCGGATAACGGGCTCAATATGAGCATCAGTGATGGCTTGCGTAGACCGCCTACAGGATGGTAAAGGAGCCTTTGAAGGATGGCCGCTGAAGCTTACTCGGCATCAAGTAGCCGCCTACAGGATGGCAAGTGAGCTTTTGAAGAATAGCCACTGAAGCTTGCGTGGCATCAAGTAGCCGCTTACAGGATAGCAAGTGAGCCTTTGAAGGATGACCGCTGAAGCTTGCGCGGCATCAAGTAGCCACCTACAGGATAGCAAGTGAGCCTTTGAAGGATGGCCGCTGAAGCTTGCTCGGTAAGGAGCAAGATCATATGAAGGCTGAGGAGCCCAGTGTAACAAATTTAAAAACAAGTCAATAATTCAGCAGTGCGGCCGATGTTGCAGCGAAGGCCCGTTTGGAAGAACAACATCGTAATTGGCGATCCACAGTGCTAACTTTATAGGGGTTCGAAGTTATGCTGGCCAAAATATAAGTTAGAGGCGATCAATTGTCGTAACTAATGGCTTATCAAAAGAGGAAAGCAATCAATACTTCAAAATCTCCTACAAAATCAAATCAAAAACTTCAAGTTCAACCAACATTCAGGAAAATATCGACCAATAATGCAACATTTTCTCTAAGAACCATTGCAGAAATACTAAAACTGGCAGATACTAGAGATTGGTGTCAAAATTGCATCAAACTACCAAAATAATTAGCAAACATCTTACATAAAAGCAAGATAAATCACGGTAAGCATTAGAGCAGAGCTCATAAAAACGTCATCAACTAAAACAATCATTCAGAAAACATCAATTACTTAGAAAAATCGGAAACCGCCTTCCAAAGCGATTATATTTCTTGAAAAAGACTGGGCATGGCAAATAGATACTTAGAAAAATCGGAAACCTCCTTACAAATTGATACATATCTTAACAAAGACTAGGCATGAAAATTAATTCAATCTATGAGAATAAATAATCAAAACCACTCTCACACTGACAAGTTGTGACGGTCTGGCCGCCTCAATAAATGCCGTATGATTTAACTTCAACAGATCACAAACTTTCACTGCAAGAAAGCAAGCCGTAAAACATGATACAAGACTTCATTCTGGCAAGTGGCGATAAGCAATCATTAAATCAATGAAAACAGCATTTTGTAAACACAACTTTCTAAGTTCGAGTTTCAAACATGAAGTCAAATTTTCCATGCCCAACAAGATAATGCATTATTGGAAGAAGTTTTATTTATTATCGCTTTCAATTCATTAAAAATCAACAAAGCTTCAGCGCATGAAGTTTTGAGCACAAGCTCGCTAATTGGAAGTCACATATATGGTAAAGCTACTAACAAAGCATAGGATCGAACGGCGCAACTGAAGGGCATTTGCTATAATGCCTTAAAAAAATTAAAATTTGTTGAAATAATACTGAAGATCTACGAGTTACGAAATACCAACTCTAAATGATGTAAAAAAGTGAGAAAATGGCTACTGCTCTAATTACAAAGGTCTAAATGATGCAACAAATCAAATGAGAAAATAACTACTGCGGCGTCCAAGAGAAAATGACTACTGCGGCGTTTCTAAAAACGGCGTCCAAGAGATGAAAAGTTTATAACAGGCATAGCTACATTGAGCCTTTCAAAATTCAACCAATCACGCATCACTAATTTGCTATTAATGAAGACTCGGTATAAATTCAGAATTCAATCTTGAACAACAACTGAAGATATATTTGCTGGGGACACATCCGAAAATTCGGTGTGGGCACCCGAAGATGGTCTCCACTTCTATCATTTTATTAACATCCTTAAATATGTTAAAAACAAGATAAACTGCGTTGGTCACAAATAAAGAACAGGCGATAATAATGGGCATGTAACTGACAGCATGGATATATTTACGTCAGAAAAGCAATGCGTAAGCCAATTCTAAAATGCTTATGATAATTGGTGAAGTTGGCTACGGCGGCAGATGGAAGAAGCAATCGGGCTTATCCGAGGAAGGCTAAGACTGGCCAGGTTGCGTGCCGCTCTCATCAGTACGGCACGACATTCACGCCACCTGTAGACAAATGCATCCAAGATTTAAAATTTCATCACTCACTCTGAACATTCATACGTCAATAAAATAGCTATCGGATATATGGCTTTACACAAGGTTGCTCGAGTTTATTGATGATTTCATTCAACTTCAGAATTTAAATGACACCGTTCAATTCCTAGCGAGACAATCACCGGGACATATTTTTCGTACACAATTTCTAGAGCAATTAAGATAGTTAGACACTAGTACGTATCTTCCCCGAATATTGAGGAATATAAATTAGCAATTTAATGAATCTTCGAGGTTTATTAATATAAAGAGGTAAGGTTTCTAAATGATTTAGTAATAAATATTCATATGTTTGGCAGTGAAAAATATTCATATGTTTGGCAGTGTTTGGCAAAAAGTCAAAATATGGACTGTTGATTCATGAGGGCGACAACAGAGGCCACGATCTCTGTTGAGAAGAGTGGTCGCATGAGCAAGTGCAACAGGCCATTAATAAGAGTAGACTATTGTAGAGTAATTAGATGAGGACTCACGGCAGCCTTGAGCGCCTGGTCGAGGTCTGAGATGAGCTCCTGGGTGTCCTCGAGGCCCACTGAGAGGCGCACCAAACTGTCTGTGATCCCGAGCTTGGCGCGCTCCTCGGCTGACACGGACGCATGAGTCATCAACGACCTATTAAACAGTCAAATTAATGTAACAAAAATAATACCTATTAGTAGAATACGATATCGTTGACATTAAACGCAGAAAAAAGTTATATACCATGCAAGGGCTCCAACTAAACAAATTCAAAGACATCATTGACCCTCCTTCTTACGGGAGTTCGCAAAGACTCTCGTAGCCTCCCAAGCTCTCGGCCAGGGTGAAGAGTTTGAGGCTCTCAAAGAACTTCTTGGTGATGTTGATGTCATCGCCTTTGATGTAGACAGTGATCATACCAGAGTGGCCGTAGCACTGCCGCTTTGCCAGCTGAAAATAAGAGATTTGGCAATGGACTTCAAAGTAAAATACTGTTAATTATGCCCACATAGCAGCCCAAGACGCATATCTCAGCAAGCTTCTGGAAACTAATTTTCACCAGTACATTATAAATTCTCAGCAGGCAGAAGGAAATTATCATATACATGCCGAGAAAATTTACATTACATCACTAATTTCCGCTTTATATTTATTACATACATGCCTTATTCGAGGAAATTAAGATGTTTTACAACAGAAAGTAAGAAAAAATATAATTCAGTACTCACTGCAGTGAGTGACAGAGCGCGCATAATCTCGTCGCCGAAAACATGAAGTCACGAACGGACAGATACACGGACAGACGGACATGGCGAGCACAATAGTGCATTTTTTTCATAAATGAGAAAATGCGCTAAAAACGAGTGATAAACCTCATGCTGCGGATGGGATGGCAGTCCAGGGTGCAGGACTTTCTCCACGGCTGGGTGCTGCTCGAGGAACTTGGCCACAGCAAGACTACTCTTGCCGTGCTGAGTCATCCTCACCGCAAGCGTCTTCAGGGACCGGTTCACAAGGTAGCAGTCAAATGGAGACGGCACGCCTCCTGCAACATTCATTTCAATTATGCACTGTACTTTAATAAATTATAGGATTTGCTTCAAAATGACATCGAATGAACCAAGTCTACCAGTTTTTGGCGTGCCTCCTGCAACATGGACTCCAATTATGTATGGTACATACCTACATAAATTATAAGATTCACTTCGAACATAACCAAACCTAGCCTTCGAATCGAAAGCCTAGCCTAACCTTCGAATGGACCAAACCTAGCATCCAGCAGTGTTCTTCATTTGAATTTAGGGAAATAGATAGTACAAACTTGAAAATAATTGTAACGAATAAAGAGATGCATTTACGTTTCACTGTGATGTGAAAACAGTTGAGTCTTGGCCCGAGCATGAGACGTCATTGTATAATGGTCAATAATTTCCATTGGGAAGGTGAGACCACTTTTGCCTGATTGCCATTACATATCTTAACTTTTCCAGTTTAAGTCTAGGTGAACTCAGAAACTTCTCTTCTGTATGGATATAATACTGGATACTTGCCAGTAAATAATACAATCATATTATATCAATGTATTATATTGTTATATATTATATCACTGTAAAATAACAAAAAAACGACGAAAATCACGATATGACTGATACCTTCAGACTGTTATGCAATATGCAGTAATGTTAGTTAGGCATATTATGGAAGCAGCTTCAAGATTCAAGTTGAACTAATCATGAAACTAATGTATTCAAGACTTTACTTGACATTCTCGACCAACTATAAACGATCAAAACAAAACTTTTGATGAGCACCTAACGCCGGAATAGAATGCACTCACCAATAGCATTTTGAAGGAATCGCAGCCTGTCGTGTAGCTCGTTGTTGGAGGTGCACACGGCGCCCATGACGACGTCAGTGTGGCCGTTCAGGTACTTGGTACATGAATGCAGGACCAGGTCAGCGCCCAGCGTCAGAGGGCGCTGGAAGTACGGCGACAGGAACGTGTTGTCAACAACAACAATGATATCTGGGGATAACAATTGCATAGTTTACTTCAGAGGCCATTGGTTCTTTAGGATGATGATGTCACGATGACAAATATTAGAGCTCATTGAAAACAAGTTAGTACAGAGTCGGTACAATATCTCCCCGAGATACCACATAACCATTACCAATAACAACAAAATAATGCTGAAAGTTCCACGATAGAATTCATCAAAGATTTTTAAAGAATATTCTCTGGCATACCGCTAGGATAATTTTTTTTAATTACTGAAAAAGGTAACAAGTTGCCAAACTTTAGAATATCTACTTCATTTAAACCTTGGCTAAAATATGGATAAGCATTTAAAGTATAAAAGGCAAACTTTTGAAGTTAAAAGGAAGATATCAGGGTTATTTTCTAAAGATCTCACTAAACAAACCTTTATTAAAGTCTTTGGCAATCTTGACAACAGCTGCAATGTCAGTCACTTTGAGGGTAGGGTTGGTCGGAGTCTCGAGCCATATGAGCTTCGTGTTGTTTTTTAGCAGAGGAGGGATAAGCTCCAGCTTGGTGGTGTCAACAAAGTCCACCGAGATGCCTTGCCGGGCCACAATTTTGCGGAAATATCTGTTGACCAAAATAGTTTAGTGGAAATACTTGCTAACAAAATGTCTTCTATGCCCTGTCAGAGTTTCCATCATTCATTTGTTGAACTCCAGTCAACAAAATGTAAGCTAACTAAATTTCTTTTATTCTTTATATACATAGGGTATATTGAATACCGTGGTAGTGTTCAAGACTGGAGCCTGGACATGCAGTGAATAAACTTGTGAAAGAGATACATCCAGAGTTCTTTTTTTGCTGTGAGACTAACCTCAAATATTTAGGATTGATCAGGGGAATGGATAGGGAATTAGTTTCTCAAAAACTTTAGGGCAAGTTCATGCTGCAGGATTTCGTTCAATCTCGGTTGTCTGTACCATAAATTTCTCATGAGAGGTAAAAATTTACATTCGGAAATGACGCAGCTGAAATGCTGTTTCAAGCACTGAAAAAGCACACACAAAGTTGCGCCAGGCAGAACACAGTTATGCTAAGGCGCCTCACAGTCCTACTGCTACTACAGACGGCAGTTACACTGAAAGATGGCCAAATCATTAAGATGGGCATGTGATTTAAATGTGAGTACTGACTACTGAGCCACATGAATGTGGCAGTTGATTGGATGAATGGATGTAGTAGTCGTTTGGATTGGATGAATGGATGTAGGAACTTCTGAGCAGAATGGATGTAGCAAAATCTTATTATGAGGGAGAAAATTACCTGTTGGTGCCACCATAAAGATCATCCATGGTTATGAAATGATCTCCAGCCGAGAGTAGGTGCATGACAGTCGTAGTTGCTGCCAGTCCTGACGCAAACACCAGACCTAGGGAAAAATACAAAACTTTCTAACATTGCTAATTAGGGATAAAGATTTCTAAATGTGTTACATTAACTCTTATTTAGATTTGAATATACAACAGTGAACAAAATTATTTTAGAATGAAAAACACTTACTCTGATGGTCTTGAATCTTCAGTGTGAAATCATTGTTGCTAATAGATATTTAAAAATGTTAATGAAAATTTCAAATACAGAACAGTTGCTGCTACAAGTCTTTGAGGTAGGTATGCATGAAGTCTACTACCGTACTGTAGGTTCAGCAATACATAATTGTATCAGGGGCTTACTCTAATCTTTTACCAAATCAAGAAAGTGTCAAATTCTGTTTCCAGTTTGTATATAGATAGTGTGTAATTCAAAAACATGTGTCATCATTTGTGCCAATATCTTTTAATAAATTGGGCGAGTATTAGACTTGGAATGTTTAATTGGTGCACAAAAATCTTCATTCTAATCTAGATATAGAGATTAACTTAAGATTCAGAGGAAAATTTTTCATCATTTTTCAGTGATCAAGTAAGAATGCAAAATCATAACTTATGCTCAAACATATTAACTGTAAAATATATGTAGTCTATTCAGGGAAGATTTTTGTCCGTGCAGTAAGAATATTTGCCTTCAAACTATGCATGTTGTGCAGTTGACCTCGCTAGAAGGATGATAAGCAACATCACATGATATTGAACACACCAAACTGAGCCTCTTCCAATGAAGCAAGACATTTCTCCAGGCAGTCGCGAGTTGGGTTGCCAGACCTGCTGTACTCATATTGCTGCACAAAAAAATGGTTTATTGTAATTTGTAAAAAGCATTTATAGATTGACTCTTGATATGGTACCATACTATTGAACCTAGCTTGAAGTCTTGAACTGTTAAAAAATTGACTATCTATATATAATAGGCTTAGATTGAGTGTCCAATGGCCATTAGCTTACTTTCAAAATAGTTTCCAGGAATGTATGCCAAGTATCAACTTGCACTTGCAGTATGTACTATATTATTATTATGTATTGATAAATTGATTATATAGCTATCATTGCTGCACAAGCTTCCTTTGTTAGTTCAGATTACTGAAAAATTTAATGTCAGCCAATTAAATTTACATTGTAGACAAGAAATCCTAGTTTCTAAGATAATAAATCCAATGAAAGAGTAAAATTTTGTTTCAATTGATGCAAGCAAATGAGAAATAATTGATATGCTGACTGCTGAGTCTACAAATCCATCAGAATTTGCACTGCCATTGCAGGTACTGATTGATAAAAAAATAAAACAACCTTCAACTAGTTTTTCTGAGCAACAAGCCCTGACTATCAGTGCATTTTCAAGCATAAAGTCACATATGAAAAGTGATCTAAATGTATGTATTATTGTCATATGAGCTTAAACTTCAGCCACCACCAAGGGTGCTGCCGTGCTGGCATGCTGCAGAATTTATTTCTGAAGTTTTGTTCTCATGCACCCAAAATTCATGTGCATATGGCACAACCATTTTAAACCATAGCTTTTGAAAATTTCTGTCAAATTTAGAATTTATTCAAGGAATGAAAATAGAGCCTAGTATAATGCCCTATAAGTTTGTCAATATGATACTGGTTCTCAAATCAGCCTGGCCAGTGAGTAGACTACTGAACAAAGGGAGAAAAATTCCTAAAATCTTTAAATGGTTTTCATACTACCATGATGATACCATCAAATTGCATCAAAGAATCATTAGCAGGCCTCCTCCAACAGAGGACTGCCAAAGATTCCAAAGTAAGAGAATTCTATTCCTGATCAGTGCTAGGATACCTACTTTGCAACTCGTTTTGCCACATCATTCATATGCCAAAAATAATGCCATTAACAGATTAGCTAACCCTAATTGCCAAAAGTAAAACATGTCATCATTGGAATGATTGGATGGAATTGAGAAATCCAAAATTCCATTCATGACTTGTCACTTGTGCCACTGCCTGAGCCTGACTGCCTCACAGGCTTGGGTTTCAAGGTGACTCATGGTCTCACCTTGAACTGAGCTGGTGCATCTTGTTTGAATGTTGTTGCCAGAGAAATAGGAGGTACTACAGCCATGGAGTTCCATTTCTCCGGTTCACAGCCTACATGGATTGCTCTAGTGGCAAAAGTAGCACTATTTTTCTGAAACCCCTCCATTTCTTATATATTTCTGAAGGAATAAAGTAAAAATTAAAATTGTAAAAAAAATTTACCTAGGCTGCTAGCTGGCAAGTGGCAGGCTGCCGCAGCCACTAGCATAACTGTAAACGTGGCTTAGCTAGGCCTAATAGGCTAGCCTAATTCCTGAAGCTGAACTTGAAGACATTTTTTGATTAAATACACATATTTTTCATCATCAACACGGAACAACACTATGAAAACTCATCTATTTATTCTCTTTTCATGACTTTAAACAAGTAGGCTAGGTATCCTAATTGAAGTAATCAAGTACCCAAGATATTTTAAATGCACAAAAATCGCAAGTCTGCACACTTCCAAAGTTCCATATCATATATGCAAAACCAAAGACGCAAAAGCTATATTATTATTTATAGCTTGAACCTCACGATGAATGGATAATGCTTATCATTATAATTAAATGCCGGCAAACGGTAGTGGTCAAACAATGACTCCCCTCACCCTCACCGTATGCCCGGCAGCTGAAGAGTAACTGCTACCCACACTCACTCTCACAGGCGCACAGCTGCTAGTACTAACTGTACTATACTAGTCCACGGCTCCACGCTGGCCGCTCCACGTGTTACGTAAGAACAACTATTGCATGACGATTGCATGTGTACTCAAGTACGATTGCGTGTGCGAAATGTCAATTTCTCTTATCCCTGAGGGGTTTCTCTTCAAGTTAACGTGTTGAAGTAAATTTAGCCATATGCACATAAAAAAATTTTCAGCCACAATTTTCTTAAAAAAAGACCGCACCGACACCTGTGGGGCGAATTTTCGAAGCGAATTTCTGGAACAAATGTTCACAACATAGAATCAGAATTTTATACCAGTTTCGTTTCCACGTAATGCACTAAACACTGATATACATGTTCACAGAGGAGCTGAAACTTAGCATTAAGCGCACTGCTTGAAACGAATCCACGTCTCGGACAAATTTACGGCCGGACTTGCGGCCGGACTCGCGGCTGGTCTCCCCAAATTCAGTTACCAAGGAATATCTCCCAAACTAATAAACGAAGCCCGATGAAACTTGGTACACGTATTCAGAAGGACCTAACGGTGATGTTTAGCTCGCGAAATTTTTCCCATTTCACCTTGATTCGTGAATTATATGGCAATTTTACTTTGCTTCCCAAACTGTACAGATTTGATCAAATTTAGCATGTACGTTCTAAACGACCAACTGGATAAATTTCCTAATGGTAACCCACGTAACTTTCACAAGTAATAGATATCGAAAAATTTCTTAGGACCTAAACTCCAGCGGATGGTTGATATTACAAGCACGAAATTCAATCAGTAGAATGGCTTCACCGCTTGTTGGAAATTTCTTCACCGCGTATTCTGGCACATGTAGTAGTATAAATGGTGAATGAATTCGAAATCAATAAAAAATGTGCAACCTAAATACAATCAAAATTATCGTTTTTAGCGCATTTTCTCGTTTATGGATAAAAGGCGCTATTGTGCTCGTCACGTCCGTCACGGACGGACGAGAAAATGCGCTATCTGTCGCTCACTGCTGTGAGTACTGATCTAATTTTTTTGTTTTTGAGTGTTTGCGACATATTTCTGTGTCACTAAAACCGTTTTTAAAACCGGCCGCTCGAATGTCCGACGGGTTCGTGATTGTTTTCTCAGCTAAAGAAAACTGAATTTACATACACAGACTCTGCTACATCGACTTAAATTACTATGTACATATATTTTATTATTTATTGATTGTTGAAAAAAATGCTACTGCAAACAGATAAATTTTTTTTAGAATTTTACGTTATTGATACATGTTGAAATTTCATAATCCTTGATATCAATACCAAAAAATTGTGTATATATCATTTTCTTACAGTTTCAGCAATGAGTGCATAACTAATAAGTGAACTAAAAGCTTATAGAATAGAATAGAATAGATGTGTCGGCACTGAAGAAATAGGCCCATGGCCTGTTGCCGATTCTTGAACTTTTCATGACTTGATTCCACAAGAGATCCGGCCTTTGGAACCCGATCTTTCTATAACTGACGATTGATTGAGATAGCTGCTGGACTTATTGCCTGGTAATTTGCTAGGCATTTTATTAATTATCGCGAATAAACGTCGGCTGGATTTGACTTTAAGCATAAGGTATAATCATCTTTTACTAAAAATGAGACTATTTCTTATACTAAGACTGATTTAATAACAAACAGGTTAATTACTTTTATTTTAGAATAATGAACGATAATAGTAAAAAGTATAGTAAATAACTTCAAACAAAACAAAAAGAATTCATTGCTCTCTTCAAACAAAATTGAAATTAGTTGCCGAAAGCTTTATTTAAGGCTTGATCAAGGTCACGTGTCAGGTCGTGAACATCTTCCAAACCGACTGAAAGGCGGATGAGTCCAGCGGTGACACCTGACGCCTCTCTTTCTTCTGCTGGTACGCCGGCGTGCGACATTGTAACCCTAGGGGGGAAAATTTAGAACACGGTAAAAGAAAGTAGCTACTTCATCATTCTGATGTGCCTATTACAAAACTAATTGAAAAGGTTAATGTTCCAGTTTGACTTACAGTTATTATCTTCAAATTTATTATCGCCAAAGACAGAGTAGCTACTTGAAACTATCGTCAGTCATGAAATGATCCGGTCAAATGAAACGATATTAGATCTTCTGTGAACAAGGCACGAAAATGAAAAGAATCGGCGGCAGGCCACATCAGGCCTACACTTCAGCGCCGAGATCAATGTGTTATGTTAAATGCAATTGTTTCATGACAGAGTCAATAAATATATGTTTACTTTTAACATTGTAATCTTTTCGATGACTGGACAAAAATCTTGATAGTTTTTTAAATCATGAATTAGGACTCACGGAAGCTCAGCAAGGCTCTCAATGCTGCCCAGACTGCTTGAGAGAGTCACCACTGCTAGGGACTTGAGGAAAGTCTTGGACTTTTCGATGTCGTCTTCTCTCAAGTAGAAACTCAACATGCCAGAGTGGCCGAACGACTGTCGAACGCTTAGCTGGAAACGGTATCATTCACGATCATCATATGAGTGTACGATAAATCATTGTCGTATTTAAGTCGAGCTTAACTGAAAGGTAAAAAAGTGATAACAGGTTATGTAAATGGTAGCAATTGGGAAACGTGTAATTGGATATTAGAAAGGATAAAAACCCGGTCTGTTGACGAGTTTACCTCTTTTTTTCATACAAACCCCATTTTATCTTCCTAGTTTTTTCCTATCAGCATAGTGACTATTTTCACTAGTGAACTTTTTGAATACTAAGTAAAATAACTAATTAGGAATTGGCCACCAGCAAGAGTGGCCAACTGGGTCTAGAGAACATGTCCAGGGATGGAGCTTATTTCTTCGCTACTACGTGCGTTTTACAAAATTACCAAGAAAATGAGATAATATATTTCAGACTGGATCTACTATAATGCCTCACGCCACCTTATGCTGAGGATGGCTCGGCAGGCCTGGGTGGTTGACGCGCCTCACGCACGCGTGGCTCTCGAGGAACTTGGCGACGGCAATTCCGTTCTTCATGTGACGCTCCATGCGCAGGGGTAAGGTTCTGCAGCGCGAACAAAAAGCTGGTAAAATATAACTCCATTTGAAAATGAAGCAAACAACGATATCCAAAATATGTCAAATAATTATTCTTGGCTTGGATTTACATTGTCGTTCTAATTTAATCTAATGGACCGTTCTTTCAAGGAGAAAGCGAATGAAAGCCGTATTTGTAATGAATTAAAGGTGTCGAAATTTCTCACCGAACAGAGCGCTGAACCAAGTAGCAGTCGAAAGGTGAAGGGATGGCACCTGAAGCAGTTTGTATAAACTTCAGCTTCTCGTGTAGATTTTTGCTGCTAGTGCACACCACACCCATGATGACGTCAGTAGATCCATTGATATACTTGGTGCAAGAGTGCACCACAAGGTCTGCTCCAAGCAGAAGAGGTCTCTGCAGCACTCCCGTCATGAAGGTGTTGTCCACCACCAATATGGCTCTTGCTTCAACATCCAGTTCGTTTCGTTTATCCGCAATCCTGCAACTGGTGATATATTTACCCATGTTCCTGTGTCGTTTGGTTGAACCAAAAGAAGGTAAAGGATATTTCACAACATGTAATTATTTTACCGTACAATAAAGAATAATTCACGTGAACCTAAAGACTGTAGATGCTATTTCACAACATTTACAATTTTTCCCGTACATGTAGGAATAAATAGCATGGATCCAAAATCATTAAACAGTAATTCCCAATATGGACTTGCATGCAGTAAAACTGATTCGCAAATAGTACTCACGGCTGCTCGAGTGACAGGTGTTCCAGACCAACGCGTTGATTGTGTTGCTGCACGATGGTGGCAACAGCTGCGATGTCGACGAGATCCATCGTGGGGTTGGATGGGGACTCGAACCACACGATGCGCGTGCTCGGCTTGAGTGCCGCAGCAACTTCTGACGCTTGACGCATATCGATGAATTCCACTACCAAGCCTTGCCTTCAAAACAAATCAAGTGGCTTGCAATGTTACTGAAGTCAACAGATGCTGTCTGAATTTTAATAAAAATAGCACCGCAAACCAGTTAACATTTTGACATAACGAAGGCATTTTTATTTGTATTCTGCGTTGCTAGGCGAATGATTTGAGGAATTCAAACGGACCGTTTCCACTTGATATCATTATAGAACTAAACATCGTTTTAAGTTTTAAATAGACCCATTGGAATTGATGAATTCATATTCTCACTCAGGAGGTTGTGCAATAAATAAAAATGATTACCTAAACATCAGCTATTCAAATTTATTCACAAAACTAATAAACATTTAACCTGATTCATGGCGTTTCGACGTGTCTCCTCACGGTTTTATTTAACCCGGTCCTTTCCCCTACACTAAAAGCTCAAAATTCTGAATTGGAATATCGATGAATAGTTAAGGAAGACTGAATATTTGGAGAATCCTACAGTCACCACTGCAGGTGGATGCTCATTGAATGTACTCACCGAGCGGCGATTTTAGTGAGGAAAGTCCAGGTGCCGGAGTAGAGGTGGTGACTCACGAGTACGTGGTCGCCCGCACGCAGCAGCTGCATCACACTGGATATCGCAGCCGTGCCGGAGGCAAACGTCACAGCTGTGAACGAACAATGCATAATGTCGTCAAAGTAAGTGATGATCGACGTGGTTAGAAAAAGTGATGAATGAGGTGGTCAAAAAAGTGATGAATGACGTAGTCAGAATAAGTGTGCAAAGCAATCGACGTCAAGACAAACTTCCAGGCTTTAACCCTTTGATCTCGGATACATTTACCGTCGTCAATGCTATTCGTACCTAGTGGCTTGGGATCGAGAAGTGCTGTCAGTCACGAAAAGATAATTAAATAAACATTAAAAATAACGGGGAAACGAAACCGCCAGTAACAATTATGACAGGCGTTTTAGTATTTCTTGAGGTGGAATATTGTTTCAGTTTTTCAAAAACAAAAAAAAAAAAAAGAAAGATACGCCTGTGATGAATTCCTAATGCAAGCGAAACACAGGTGCCGACCCAAATTTTGTTTACAATAAATGTAATCAATTGTGAGCAATCCGCATTAATTTAATTTATATGATCAGTTTGGTAATGATTGAACTTTTAAGTCATTTTTAGGGTCATAGGCAGTAAAATAAGCGTTCATTTACCGTACTCAGCCTCCTCCAGCGCTGCCAGTGAGCGCTCCAGCGCAGCGCGGGACGGGTTGTCGAGTCGCCCGTAGAAGTATTCCTGGCAAGCGGTCATAAGAACATCAACGTGTATATTGAAATATTATCTTTTGATGCTTCAAGGATATGAAAAAGTACAGATTTTCTTTAAGAAAGGTAGACCAATTAGCTGCTCATAGGAAATTAATTCAGGCCTTCAAGTTCGGCAGCTTGACACTGTTGTTTTAGCTGTACGACCTGTGTAAATAGATACATTTAATAGTATAGAAGTGTCAGCAATGAAGAAATAGGCCCATGGCCTGTTGCCGATTCTTGAATTTTTTGTGACTTGATTCAAAAGGGATCCGGCCTTTGGAACCCGATCTTTCTAGCTGCTCATAGGAAATTAATTCAGGCCTTCAAGTTCGGCAGCTTGACACCGTTGTTTTAGCTGTTCGACCTGTGTAAATAGATACATTTAATAGAATAGAATAAAAGTGTCGGCACTGAAGAAATAGGCCCATGTCCTGTTGCCGATTCTTGACTTTTTTGTGACTTGATTCACAAGGGATCCGGCCTATGGAACCCGATCTTTCCATAACTGACGATTGATTGAGATAGCTGCTGGACTTATTGCCTGCTCCGTAATTTGCTAGGCATTTTAAGACTGGACATATGCTCCTGAATAGCTTCGTCTAGTCTATTCTTGAAGGCGTTCATCTCGGATAGCATGTTGGAAGACAAACATTAATTAGCAAAATTTAGGGCAAGAAAGAGAGGAAGACTCACCCCCTTATGCTGGGGGTCTGCCTGTGCAAAAGTGGTGGCCAGGGTGAGGGGCGGCACCAGGGCACGCGTCTCGTTGCCTCGGGGCTCAAAACCCACGTGGATGGCGCGTGTGTGCAGCGAGGGCGCGTTGCGAGGGTAGGGTGAGGGGGCCGCGTCTTCGGGTGAGCTCGAATCCTGCAAATCGGCAGCAGGATAACATGATATAAAATAGAAGAATAGAATAGAAGTGTCGGCACTGAAGAAATAGGCCCATGGCCTGTTGCCGATTCATGAATTTTTCGTGACTTGATTCAAGATTCAAATTGTGAATCTTGAAATGCAGGTAGCCAGGGATAATAAAGTTACTGTTCGTGGAAATGGATAAGAGGGTAGAATTAACAAAGTTGTTTTTCTACCTTATATAGTCCTGGCGCGGTAACATTATAGCAAGAATTGTGTGATTGCGCTTTATGAATTAAAATTAACACGTTGTTACTCTAGCTTATTAATTGCGTAAACTTACTCACCATATTGAAGAATGTTAATATTTGTAGCTGTGATTCTCAAACTCTTTGAAATGCCAAGGAAAATTTAAATAGGCAGTCGGTTTGTTAACAAAGTTAAAAGCGTTTGAATCTAAAAAAATGTTTCCCCGTTGAAAAAAAAACACGGTCTGTTCGATTAATGACGTATTTTTGCTGGCAGTCGTACGTCAACAGTAACGATCGAGTTGAATTAATTCCACTCGTACCCTGTTGAATGTTAATATGGATCCAATATAGCAGCTACTGTGTGCAGCTCTGTGCTAACTGAACACTTACTGCACACTAAACACACACCGCACAGTACTCCTATTATCAAAACTCTTGTGAAGCTCAATTTTCATAATGTCCTTGAGATGGTGGGAGAACCCAATCAAAAGTGTTGTTGCCGCATGCACTGCACATACTTGATGAAGTGCTTCATCTATAGATGGTCAACGTTATCATGTACACGATAGCAGATGGTGGCTATCGAGAGCTGGTGCACTGTTTACAGAATGTGTTATCAACATATTAAGAAACGCAACTTCGGCAATTCAATTGCGCGTGTGCTAAAGATCCATTTACCATGTTTTAATTTGCATTTTTAACAAAATTTAAAAACAGTTTATGCGAATTCAAAGAATAAAAGTGCACATTGGCGACCCCAATAGAACATTTTTCAACTCTCGTTCAAATTCCGTTATCTTAAATCATTGCCTAAATATAATTATCTTTAACTTCCTCTTTGAATTAATTATCATATGCATAAGTTCTGATAAGGAGATTACATGCTTCATTATCGATAATACGGGCAGTAAAACGGATTTGTGGAGATAAACTGATATTTGAGAGAAGGCGACTGCAAGGCAGGACGATGGACGCAATTAAGTGTTCGGTAGGCCGAAGAGCTAACTGGTTGTGGAGGAGAATGATGTGCTGCGGTGGTGACAATTGCGAGTTCTTACGGTTAAAGCATTCACAATTTACTTAATTTTCTTTAATACTGATGTCATTAACTCTTTCTGAACGTGACGCGTCGTTCAGTCCACTTGTTCCAAGGAAGTGAAGAAGTTCCAGGTTAGAATTTTTCGCTATCAGTTAACATCTGGTATAGTATTTCCTACTATTGCCATACTATAGCTTGTAAATGTAGGAAGGTCTTTAGGAGACATATTCGATCAAATATCTTAATGTGGTTTGCTTTTTGATAGCGATTACATTTATAAAGTATGATAATTCGAAGGAAACACTTATGTAATAAATAAGTTGCAATCGTGTACAATTTGCTATTAATGGTGCAAACATTTGGTCTGGCCGCAGAGAAGAACTTGGTCCCGCAGGTGAACCCATTCCCTTCTGGACTGAAAAATTGACGGAGGATAGCAATGGAGGACGCGGGAGAGGATATATCTGAGAAAAAATGTTGTAAAGCAGCCTGTTTCTACTTCCTTATTTCACCTCCAGGGATACTCAAATGTCTTCAAGTTGTGAGTAAATAATCGAAATTATATGATAGATATTTCTAAATTATCATTTTTCTCACACTAAATCTGCAAAAAATGTAGACATTAAGTTCGGTCAAGTCATGTTTATCGGACTTTCTAAAGAACTTGAACAATTATTTACCACCTTCAGTCTATTGAAGCTTAGTATTTACACTTTGATCTTGGGTACAGCAATAAACTTTATTTAAAGATAAAGGTACAGATTTTTCATCCCTTCCTGCTGAAAATCTTACAAAACATCTGCATTTTTGTAATTTGGCATCATTAAGTGTTCACTAGAACGCACCATCTGAATTCTTCTTTTGACCTCACCGCAGTTCAGTGCTGCGGGAGTAGAGTTGCAACTTGTGAATCTTAGGTAACATGAATTTTCTGCCTTAAAAATGTCCTCGACCGAGTTACCTAGTCGCATGGCATATATTTACCTAAGAAGCGCAAGTTTCTCACTTTTAAGCTTCTCAAAAAAGGGTGATATCGTGTTTCCTTAGATCCTACTTCTCTTGAGCTTGTCGCTGTTCTTGGAAAGTGGCGAGTGTCGTTCCAGTGCCGTGGAAGAAATTATGTTCCTGTTGCCGGTCAGCGTCTGTTGCTTGGATTCCTTCGTCGGCATTTGCATGGCAATGTATTTACTGAATAAAGGAAGGAACCTCATCGCTGACGCCAACTGGGTTAAAGGCGTAAGTAGTCCACGGATACAACGTGTAGTAAAATTTGTTAGGAGTTACTAGGATTATACAATGGAAGCTTTGCATGGGTTGTACTTTTATTACGAGTAATGCTACCATTCATTTCACGACGCCGATGAGTGCCATGACATGGATGATGGACAGTTTCTGAGAGGGATCCCGTGAAATGGTTAAAATATGGTAATTTGTTTAGTTAAAATAGTGAGAAACATAGTAATAGGGTGGGAGATGCAGTAGCAAGCTGTAGGCAGGGTGCATGGCCCAGTGTTTTCAGTTCCGAGTACCGAGATTGGAGCAGTGAATTGCGGGTTTGAGACCTGCAACAAGCTATAAATCTTTTGCGTTGTTAAGAATGAGCGACAGGTCTAATGGCCTAACTAATGCTGATACCGATATTATTATTAACAATTGAATTAATTCTGTATATGCGTACCACAGGACGTGCTGCAGTGCGTTGCGGCGATCGTGCTGCTCGTGTTCGGAGTGTCTGTCACGGTCTTCGACTATGCGTGCATCACGTTGCCCGACTCCATCGCGGCTGTTGTGAGTTCACATACAGACAATTAGCGTATAAATTTGTTTACAATCTGCGTCTCAATGAATTTATCTTAAAAGCATAAGTACTGACTCAGAAACACACGATCTGCGGTCGAATAATTAACGACATCAGTATCCATAATTGTAAAAAAAGTAAAAAATAACAGAGTATGGTTTTGTATATGAAAAAAACATATTACAGTCGATATGATTTTTCGATTCATAACCATGCAAAAACGCGGTCTGATCGAGCCTGGACCGCGATGACAACTTCGACTTTCGGCCAGACCTGTGCATTGCTTACGATGTTTTTCCTTTTCTTTCAAAAGCAGTCATTATTTTTGAGACAGTACCTCTAGAAATGTCAAGCATTCGGGAAGTTTCTGCCATATACGAGCACCAACAATTTTGCCTCCTTGAAAGTTAGAGAGGTTTGTCATTTATAGGTTATCGTCTAGGTTAGAGACACAAAAATTTACTAAAAATATCTGTGCAAGGATGAAATATCAATTAGCAGCAACAATAAAACATAAAAAACATGTCACGGTTTCATTGTTTATAGCACGCTAAAAAAATTACGAATTCAAGATGTAAGGTGTTTCCCTTATGTCATCCAACCCCTGTATATTTAAAACAAATTTCAACTAAACAATCAAAATTTCACTTGAATACTCATGATCAAGGCCACAGAGGTCCTCACGGTATCGAAAGAATCCAAACTCGCTGTGGGCTTTGACGTCGAGAGTGGATAATACATATCATCATTATACATCATTATATCGTGTTACCGCCAGAGGAAGCGCATTATATTGCATATCACCGCCCAAAAAGTGCATTTTATGACATGCCACCGCTTAAGAGAAACTAAATGATCGCTTCGCAGTTACACGACCTTGAACAATAAATAAAAACTTTGCTGTACATCGTGTACTTAGAAATACGATATATAAAGATTTTAATGCTTCCGCTTGTGAAACACGCAAGTTCATCTGTCAATTCATTCAGTACGATAATGTGGAGTGTTCAACCGCAAGTGCGAAGATAAAACGCAGCTACATGATTAAAATTAAATGCTGTGTTGTCAATCGGTTTAATGTTACGATACACAAAGCCTAAACAAAACCTAAACCATTCTCTACGGACCCAATGAGCTGTTTTTAAGAAAGACAATTAGTAGTCTTATCTGATTTCTTGTAATCTTCTAAACTCGAGAAGTCACTGGCTCTTCAGAGATAAGAAGAGTTTTATTAAACCCAGTGATTTGAGCATATTTTTCCTCACTCTTAACAGGGCTGGTATTGGCTCTTATTTTTAAGTAAAAAAGATTTGGGGAGATTTACCACATCATAATATAGGTCGGTAGTTATGACTCAGAAGCGTCTAGATTTAGTGCTATCACTTAATTAATTTTAAATACTTAGGGTAATGAACAAGCGTAAACATTTATTTCATGTCTATAGGTGAACGTCACCACTTTGAACACAACAGTACTCAACCTCATACCAACTTTTAATAGTTTTGTTCTTTGCGGAAGAACCTCGATCGTACTCGCGTAGCTCCTCTGAAGCATAGTAATTTGTTTATATAATTCGATATAAAAAACGAAATATATTTTAAAGTGGTCAATTTGATTCATATTTAGAAGTTGTAAGAATATGTAATGTTGTTACAGGGTTCAATATCCTGATTGAAGGAATTGAAAAAGAAAATTGTTAATTCCTCTCAACGTCAACCGAATTAGCCTTGGAAAGGGCCACCCACAGGGTGGGCTAGTGGTTAGGTTACAGTTCAGACTTCAGAGTATCATTGGAGCAGAGAGGTGCGGGTTCGATCCCAGCTCTGTGCGTCACTTTCTGGTCAGAATCGGTGAAGAGGCTGGGCGGTTAAGCACAGCAGAATTGGAGCAGTTAGTTGCGTATTCGAAACCGCAACAAGCTGAGAATGTTCTGCGATGTTAAGAATCGCTCAATCGGCGACAAGGCTAGCGGACAAACAACACTGAAACCGCTATTCTTAAACGCTTCACCATTATTACTGAAGTGTTGAAGCTATATTACGTAAACATTTCATTCGATTTGTTGGCTGAAAAATTTCACTTCATTCTCTGGAGAAAGTTTAGTCGAATAATGAATGTTGTCCTGGCAGGCTCTGAGTGTGGTGGTCATCCTACTGTACGTGGTCAACGCTGCGATCGTGTGGTTATTGTACGTCCGGCACCGGGAGAAAACAGGCGCGCTAAACCGCAGAAGACGGGCATCCCAGCCAGCTGTTGTCGTACAATCTTCGCCTGTTACTATGTCGCATCCTGCTGCATCGCCTTCAGTAGTTAAATATTGAAATGCTATGGATCGTATCACGATAAATATGCGTTTGGGAGTCTCTAAATACCTGATACTACTACATTTATGAGTTATAACACTCGATTGTTTCATATTTTACTACTAAAATGGCTATGAAAAACCTTGTTTCTAAAAAGAGAAAAATTCTCGAGCAATATATGGCTCTGTAGCACATAGCGCTTTCTCGGGAGTATCGAGGAATAATAACGTTGAAGCTTGATCGAAGAAGACCATTTATGCATTTTATTGACACGTATAAAAAATTTGTTATAGGTAAATTGTCTCTCTTTTGCTAATTTAAAATTCTTCTTGTGAAATTACAGCAACAATGCATGGGGTACAGAAAACTTGATCAGTGAAGTTAAGATAAGACCGATAAGAAGCACGAGCTAGGCACGGCGTCCAAGACTACATACAATCTCCTAATCGACGTCCACCTTATCTGACCAACGATCTGACCATACTTTTCTGTGGCCACTGCGGACCTTTTCTTTTCAGCTTTTCGAATCAAGGAAATGACAATTGTCCAATGTTAATATAGCATGGCTATTGAACTTGAAGTTCTTTAACCGGGTTTCTTATTATTTGTCAGTTAGAACTTAATTACTTCGTAAGACACTGGTCGGGCATGGACAATATTGTACAAAATTACAATTTTTTGCATGATTTCGCCGAGTTTCAACATCGAACTTGGCATGCAATAGGTTGCGTAAACCGACTTGCTCACTTGATGGGTGAAGAGTAAAACTCCGAGAGATTAACGAATTTATTGATTCAGCTGAAGATCCAGCAGGAAGTATAAAAGCCAGTAGAAAAGGATTATAAATCTATCATTATACGTAGAAGAAGAGAGTGACTGAATAATGCTTCACTCTTCCATAGCATTCGGTCTTTGGCTTCGAAAATACTTTAGTGCTTGTTTAATTAACGGAGTTTGAGTGTCATTACTTTGGTCAAATAGCTTTAGAGCTGCTGTTGATGACGGTGCAAGTTAACAGGCTTTCTAATTTCCTTGACCGGCCCAATCTTATTTGTGGTAGTAAAGATTTAGGATTGTTTGTCTACGAAAGACAGCGCTATAACGCGCTGTAAATTCAGCCCGATCAAAATATAAATATAACATTGAAATAATTGAATCAATCTTCCAAATTCGAACATAACATTGAAATAATCGAATCAATCTTCCAAATTCGAACATAGTATGTAGTCAAAATTTCTTATCTTTCGTCCACACCAATTACTGTCGGTACTCGTCATCATTTAGAGCACAAGCGCTTCTGCTAACCCACAAAATTAACAGTTGCCAGACATTCACGTTTTTAGTTCAAGCGAATCTCATCCAAGGTTTAACTTTCGTTCCAACAGAACACAATCAAAGTAACAGTGCGACACAACAATTAACTAAGGCAGTGGCTATAAAGCTATAGGAAAGCTCAATTTCGAAACAATAACCAGGGCTTATTTATCATTCATAATTGTAAATGTTTTAGTTTAGCGATAATCTCGATGACAAAATTCGCTCAAGTGAACAACAATGAGTAGGTGAGTCAACATTACTGCCTCGCTCAGAAATCCTTGAACATATCACTTTAAAATAGAACTGCACGCAAAAGCACACGATCGAGTAAAACAATAATTAAAAGCAATCATTAAGCTTATTTTGTTGGAAACTCGACACACGGGAAGCACGTCATCAATCCGAAAAAATGATTTTTAGTTAGGATTAGGTAGTGCAAAACCTACACTTCCATCTCCTTTAAAAAACGTGAAAAATTCATCTAAATAAATAATTAAATAACACACAAAATAGAAGAGTATGAATATATAATTAGAGCTGGTGCAAGACCTTCACTTCCATCTCCTTTAAAAAACGTGAAGAATTCGTCTAAATAAATAATTAAATAACACACAAAATAAAAGAGTATGAATATACAAATAGAGCTGGTGCAAGACCTTCACTTCAATCTCCTGTAAAGAAGGTAAATTCATCAGAACAATAAATATAAATAACACATATAGAAGCTAGGAATATGAGTACAAGACTCTACACGCTACAGAAACATAAGGTACTGGAATGCAAGACAATACTGCATGGATTGACGTCTACTGTCATCTAAACTAAACAATGAATAAATAACACTGAAAAACTGCACAACATCACTCGTACATCACCTCTACGTTATTATTAACTACTGCTAGGAGTCTCGTATAAGTAGTAGTACTGTAGTGAATCCTATCTACGTACATAATAACTTGATGTATGGAATCCTACCTACATAATAACTTAACCCCACAAATGAAGCCCGCAATCAGACACCGCGAGCTCAGCGGTGGGGCGCTCAGGAACAATCCCCCTAGGACTTGTGACGAGCACAGACACGCGTCAGATAATCCCCCATGATAGGGAACGTCTCGTATAAAAGTCCACATGGCGCGTAGTTTGCGGTGCTTCAGAAATGAAGAGAAATTGAGTTAAAAAATAATATTTACGTCTACATGGGTTCAGCGAGGAAATTGATGCGTTATGGTATTGATTGAGAAATGGAGTATTTAGAGCAAACATTGTTTCAATATAGCAACATAGGACGAGGTGATTCTATATTTAGTGCATGCCTCTCAGCTTTTTATTCAAAATTAGAAAATATGAAAATTTATATATTTTTATTTTTAACAAAACGTGATCACATGATCACAGAATTTGCTCAAAAATTTGAAATAGGATAAATAGTTGATTCCAACTAGCGATGAAATTTCGCGAAATTAAAAAAAAAATTGAGTAACAAGAAGATGTTAAAAATTATTGTGCATAGGCCCAACATAGAGTAGTTACTTCGCGTATTTGAGTTTATTTCGTGCCTAAATGATAATGTGACAAAAACGGCCAAATAAATTGAGAGTGAATCACAGAAACCCTGATATGACTTAGCTAATGTCTAAATAACGACTATACGGTGAGTTGATGCGACAAATACAGTTGATAAAACTGTTTAACAAGTGTTTCTTCACAAACAAAAACAAATTTCGTTTTCAGACGATAGCACATAATATTCATTAGTTTTTACAGTTGTTAAAATTCACTGTACCGATCTTCAATAATATGCAAGATTTTAAACGGCAACAATGGATCTAGCAGAGAAGGTCTAACGCAGAACACTGCAGGTCTGCGTTACCAAAACAGAGACGCTAGCTTGTGCCAAGCCGAAGTCCAAAACTCAGTTTACCAAAGACGCCAGCTCTTGCGAAGCCGAAGTTCAAAACTCAGTTTACCAAGGATAATTGGTTGCGCTAAGCCGAAGTTCAATACGTACTGTGTTTACCGAAGATATCAAGTTGCGCTAAGTCAGAGTTCAACACTCAGTTTACCCAAAATTTTAGGTTGCACTAAGCCAGAGTTCAACAATTCGTATAAGTAGTAGTACTGTAGTAGTAGAATGGTTTGCTAGCGCTTCAGCTATCAAGCTATTACGCACCGGAGGTCAAAATATAACATCGCCAGCGAGGCGGAAGGTCTCAATAATTCAATATCTCAAATCATTCATCACCCACAAGGAGCGGAAGGTCTCAATTGTCTAGCCCGCTGAAGCTGGCTCGAGAGAAGCAGCGTTAGCATCTCAAAGAGACGAAGTGACAAGGAGGGACAGGTGAAAAGCAACAGAAACGAAGACACTCGAGCAAGAGGTCGCTTACACGGGACGTCGGCCGCCCGCACGAGAGAGACAGAGAATCTGTCTTGCAAGGAATCCTATCCACATAATAACTTAATGTAAGGAATCCTACCTACATAATAACTTAACCCCACAACTGAAACCCGCAGGCAGACACCATGAGCTCAGCGGAGGGGGCGCTCAGGAACAATGCCCTAGGACTTGGCAGGTCTGCGTTACCAGAACAGAGACGCTAGCTTGTGCCAAGCCTAAATCCAAAACTCAGTTTACCAAAGACGCCAGCATTTCCGAAGACAAAGTTCAACACCCAGTTTACCAAGGATATTAGGCTGCACTAAGCCGAAGTTCAATACTGTGTTTACCAAAGATATCAAGTTGTACTAAGTCAAAGTTCAACACTGAGTTTATCAAAAATGTCAGGTCGCACTAAGCCAAAGTTCAACACTTAGTTTACCCAAGATTTTAGGTTGCACTAAGCCGGAGTTCAACAATTGGTTTACCTCTATGGACCTTCAATAACTATGTAGAAAAATCCGAGATGTTCCAGCATAACACGGAGCTAAGGGTATATCTTTACTCAACTGCAGCGAAGACATTGCGGGCACTAAGCGCTAATGGCGGCGACAACTTTGCAATGAAAAATGCATTCATGGTACGACGTAAGCTAGATGGTCACGATACCAACACGATGCTGAATGCTGCTACATCAGCCCTACAGGTGAAGCGCTAAGCTAAATACATATCAATATAGCTCTATCACTATATATGGTAGGCTCAGCAGTAGCCAGATTAAGAGCTAAAGAGTGCTGCTCTAAGCACTAATTGATTGCAGAAACGCGCTAAGAGAGTGAAGACCTTAGATAAACACCGCATCAGTACAACGAACCAACAACAGAGGTTACTCTTGTGTTTCTCTTTCATGCAAGCTTTGCAAGCATGATGGCAGGTCATGGGGAGAGACGTACTAACGATGACACGCAAATCGAAATTTTAGTATTCAATTTCTTAATGAATCTTACTTACCACTCAAAGCCGGTAAAAAATTATTAGTACGTTTTATACTATATCGCCCGATATCGCGTGTCATGGATCGCGCAAAATTGTGGTTAACAGTTACAAACATGATATTATTTTTTATAAACGTTTCAATGCAAACGTTGAAACCAATTCAATCAGTAATCTTAACATAAAAAATTATTGAACAATCCTATAATAAATAATTCACATGTTTAATGGTGATACTTATTCAAGTGCATTGACAACGACAATACTAAGGACAAACGCAACAATCCTGACAATAAGAATCAAAATTAAGGATCAAACGAGAACAATCGTGCCTTCGACTTATCCTAGAGCCTAGGCCATATAATTAGTTCTTTAATCTACGGGTAAAACAGCGAACACCAAACGCCTCGTACAACAAAGAGATGCATCGTCAAGTTAGAGAGAAATTATTTTTGTTCGTCTTAGAAGAATTATAAAACGTATCAGTAAGTTGTAGTGGTATCAGTACCTACTAGTTATTTTGTTCATCTTTGGTTAAGTTTTATCATTACATTAGCTCTATATAGTCATGTTTTGACAATTTGTATCACTGCTACTAATTCTTCAAATAAATATCGGGAGAAGTTTTATTATCACTCGCTCTTCGTGTTCGTTTTTTGTAGAAGTTGCGGCAGTCCTTAATCTTTCTGTTCATTTTAGAGTTTGTATCATTACAAAGTTGCGTCCTCGTGATGCGGACAGAACTCATAGCTAAATTGCAAACTATGACATAGCTAAAAGTCCTTTAAAAACCGTTATTAAGTCCATATTAAAATTTGCGGCAGGTGTTTGGATGAATGATCGTCGAGACTGCACTTGCATACATAACCAAGATGGTGGTTCCAACGAAGCTACATTCCATTCGAAGCTGCAAAGATCATGCAACAAACAGCATGCTTTTCATGCTTTGCTTAGATCTTGCCAAAAAATCAAAATGCTATAGGTTTTGAAGTTGATTTTGACTGCACTATTTTCATCAACACAATTAGAAGAATAAATTCAATAGGAGTGACAGGTAAGATTAGAGTCGCCACGCATGAAACAGTACAAAGGAATCCAGGCTGATGCAGTATAGGGAGGCTTCAACATCGACAACGTCAACATCAACAACAACGATGTGTTCTCGAGGTAACAATCATAAAAATAGCTATTAATATTAATTACTCTATCAATTCTCAGGGTAACAGGAACAACATCAAGATAGTCTCGAGTGAAAGACTCAGTTAGTTTAGGAGGCAGCGGGTCATTCGTACGTCTTTGCGTTGATTAATAGCAAAGAGCGCGTATGTGTTCAAGCAACTTTTAAAATCAAACGTAAAGACGGGTCGCAGAAAATCTCATCAATTAATGATAATTTAAATGCAGATCAGATTAATTATGAACAATGCTATGAGAGTAGCAATAGAACAACAAGTATATAAACAACGCATTTAAAAGTGCCGAAGTTGAGCGCTTCGTGAGTACAGGCGCACATACGACAATTAAATAAACAGTTGAGATCATGGGTACCAGAACCTCCTGCAACTCCAGGTGACTGAGACTCGAGAAAGCAAAGGTACAACAGGGTCGCGAAGGCACATTCGAGGGCAGACAGAGCAGGGATCGACTAGCGGATGGATCATACGGCGGTTACTACTCAAGTCAAAGGCTCTCACGGGTCAAAGCTCTGGCCAAAGAACACAGTTGGGCACATAATAAACTGAGTTAATTACAAGAGTAATAAACAGGAAAAAATTTCCTTAGTTGTACATAAGTAACAGCTCACACCGCGACGATCATCTCTACACCACTCCATGTTCACATGTACGACGATACGTATCGTACAAATACGACACCATAATCATTCTCTTTAGCATACGATAACACCACATCAAACTTTTACTAAATTAGGACCCATGACGTGATGCTGGCTCCCAGACCTAACCGCAAAAACAAGTACAGGGCATGAACACAAGGATATCACAATCACGTGTCTAGTCACCTATAACAATAACATAAACTAACCTACTGTACGACAAAATATCTGCATACAAGATAAGAGTGCATAGCAGGGGTGGGACGCCTAAACCATTGACAAGTAACTTTGATGAGAGCACGAAGAGCATAGAAACAAGATATGGATGCTTCAATGACATTAAACTGTCACTATAAGGCTAAATACGCAAAACATTAATCCCGAAAGTGAAAACAAATGCAATAGGACAACAGGGCTTGAACAACAAGGGTTTTACATTGCCGCTCAACACCTAAATTCTTCTCCAAGAGAGTTTACGAGTCACAAAATAGATTTCACGATTCGTAAAAGCTTCCGCCAATTTAGTGATTCGATGTTTTATTGTCCTTGATTTCCTTAATAGCTGTTTGAAGTCGCTTAATGTGTCCAATCTTAGTCACGCCCAGTTCCTTGAGATCCCTCCGTTCGAGGGCCAGCAGTTCAGACCCACGGATATCATTGGCAGCGAAAGTGTCCCTGTACTCGGCAAGCTGCAGAGTATCAAGCCACTGCAGCACCTCGCTCACGCCCCAGTTGCGGCGCACCTCTTTCTCCAGCGTGAGAGTCTTGTGGTGGCTCGAGCTTTTGGGGGTCACAACAGCTGCACTGCAGGAGCTGGACGTGCACACAGTGCCCGGACAACTGGTACTCTCACAGCTACCACTGCTACCGCCTTTCAGTAATAAATTCTTCAACAAGGCCGCCTTCGAGTGGGACCTCTTCCGTTCTGAAGACGGAGGCACAGCCTCTTCCTCTGCGCTGAAGTGCACCAGATGGTCAGTCTCGTGTGCCTTGCGTAGCTCAGCTTCAATGCGCGTAAGCATGCCAATCACGCCTGCTTCCTCCGAAGCTCTGAGTTTCAGGGAATTGTCTTTGAGGAGAACGCTGATATCGGTGTGCATGGCTCGCATACTATGCACCAGCTCTGTAGCCAGCATGCGTAGGTTGGGCCCTTCGATGACGTGGTGGTCACGCCAGACCTTATCGAGACACGTCTGAGCTGACGAGACCAAGTCTGCCAAGTGCTGGCTGACTGAGGCGTCACTGCAAGTAATGCCTTTGACGCAAGCAATGCTGTCGACCACCACAAGAGACAAGCCAGCAAGACGAGGTAGTTCTTCATCCTGTAAAATCGTAGGTTGCTTATCTTGTTTTCCTTGTGCTTTGAGTTTCTCTTGCCACGCCTTTAAGGAGACGTCCAAGTCTCGGTTGCGGCACAGCATAGGCACGCGATTCTTATGCACAATACGAATTATTCCTGGCGGCTGCGTCCAAGCTTCGCCATCCACCTGCACTGGCACGCCCTCCTCGCCCAGGATGGTGATCTTGATGGAGCTGCACTGGGCGATTCTATGATGCTGCAAGTTTATGATCCGGGATGCCGCCATCTGTGCTGAGCCAAACACGGCCACCACCTCCAGAATTCGGTCATCAAAACTGGGAGCTAAGAAACAGTCATCCTCTTTTTTTCCGCCCCAAAAATTCGTTCCACCCATGAAGCTTGGGATGTTCAAGACAACTATGCCCTGTAATGAAGGAAGAGGAATACGTTCACCATCGCATTCCAATTGAACCCGCAAATCAAGGTTTTTGTAAGTTTTGCAAAGCCATTCTTTTGAAGCCAGCACGCCATACCACATGAAGTTTTTTGTTCTTGACCGGCATTTTTCAGGGTGTTCTTCCCTTTTATTATGAAAATCAAGTGTGATTTTGGCATCGATGCCAATACCAAAATAGTTGTTCATGACGCAACGTTCCTCAAAGCCCTCAAGAGAAGACGTATCGAGATCCATAAGCGGTGAAGCTGCAGCACAAAGAGCATCAGCGTTGGCAAGCAAGACCTTGCTGATGAGTCCACCCGAGTGACCGCCAGCTGCGATATTAGGCCAAATGGGCAGTGAAACGAGTGGGTTGATGATGGGCAACGCCTTTTGTCGACCAGGTGCTTTGCTCGGCGGTTGAGGACCCTGGTGGCCCGAAGCCGCAGAATGACTTTGTGATCGCCTGGTTCGCTCAGGGCTCCGGCTTTTGTCGCGTGAACCTCCCAAGCCACCGACACCTAGTGTTGAAATAGCCCCCGCAGCCGCCTTTAGCATTGAGCCTGTAGAAATGCGGCGCGACGTTAGACTCGCTCGCGGTTTCTCGTCATCGGTGAAGGCCTCGGCTCCTTCGACGATCCTCTCGCGAGGCAGATGAGCAGCATCGAACATATCAGGTACTAGTAAGTGACACTCCTTTAGTGATGTGGCTCGAGGAGTGAGTGGAGGACTGGGTCGCTTCCTTAATTCTGGCGGGCGACAGACTTCGGTCATCGAGGGCACATCAAGAGTTACTGCAAGACGAGCCGCGCCTGGCGTACACTCAGTAGATTTTTTGCGTTCGCCAGCTTCTTTCTCACAGAGAATTTCCGCCTGATTTTCCAGAGCAGTTTCGTCTATTTTCTCGACGGTAGTTTCCTCGGCCTGATCTGCCACGGGATCTGTAGTTTGCTGAGAGGGAGTTTCTGTCTCTTCAGTAGGCGTGACTCGCGATTCTTCAGAACTTGCCAAAGGAGCGACTGGGCCAGTATACTCACCCTGGGCCGTTGCATCAACGCTCACAGAGCGCAATACCTTGAGAGGAATGTCATCAGGAATGGCATCTATGTCAGTTTCCAGCACGCCAACACGACACATTAGCTCTGAACTTGATCCTGCCATGCCAGTCGCGTCAATACCAAGGCCATGCGCGGTACAGCTATCAACAGCAACATTCTCGCCCTGAACGTTGCCATTCTCGATATCAAGCATTTGTTTTAGCTTCAATTGCCGCTCGTACTCTTCTGAATCGACATTATAATCGCGTTCGCATAATAATGCATCATCTGTAGCATCCGTGAATACGTCGTCTTCCAATGAACTGTACGTCCTATTTTCAGCCGAGAGATAGGGCCGTGCACTAATTCTGACATTTCCATCACAAGGTCGATCAAGCTTTCTCAATGAATCGATTTTGGCATCCACTTGCGTCTCGTGCGTATCAATATCAACTGCTTGGGGTTCCTCCAATGATGCACATCCATCAATGTCATGCAACTCTTTAGGTACCTTTACACTAACGCCTTCTAACTCTTCAGTCTTCTCAGTTTCTGCTACCTCAGCATCGGTATCAGCAGCAAGCACGTCCGCCGTGTCTTTCTTCGTACAAGTGGACTTCTCGCGTTCAGCCTTGGCTTGTCTCTCTTCCTCTAAACTCTCTTGCCTGATGGCCCGCTTGAGCTCCTCTTCCAGCGTTTCATGCTCAGATAGCGGTCCTGGCTGGGCTTCGAGTCGTAATTTAGGATCACCGCCATCACTCTCGCTCAAGTCGAGGTCTGTTTCATGCGCCGTCTCCATGGTAGTCGTCTGTTCAGAAACCGTCGTGCCTTTCGTATTTGTTTCGTCGGTCGTCAACTCGGACTCTTCTTTTGAGTCGTGGTCTTCTCTATCATCTTTAGTCTCGTCACTGTCGGTACCAGGAGCTGAGCCGACTTTTTCCCTGACAGTGTCGTCTGTACCCTCACTATCACCCGAATCTTTTTCCGTTTTGTCTTCCTTCTCGTCTTCATACCCGTCAGGAGCTCCTCGTTTTCCAGGTACGACGTCCAAATCTGGTAACTCATCCTGAATCTCGTCCACATCAACGGATGTGTTCAGGGAGGCAGTCAACGAGTCGCGTATCTCACTCAGTGATTTTTCTTCAAACAAATACGGCTCGTCTTCACCCACGTCCATCAGGTTGTCGGTCGAAGACAGGATTCTGAGCTCAAAATCCTCAGCTTGAAGAGCCTCTTTGGCAGCGAGGTCAGCGAACTCGTTAGGTGCAGGCAGCGTGGTCACGTTCAGCTCATAATCGTATTGACTCTCGCGCCGCGACGGCACCGGGGAAATAAAACGCATGCCATGCACGTCTCCGGGAGCAAGCGAGGATGGAGACGCTGGAGGTGAGAGGACGCCAGAATGAGGCACCTGCAGAGATGATGACGCAGAACCATACGAAGGAGAGGAGGCCCCCGGCACGCAGTAAGGGAAAGGGAGAGGCAGGCAAGGGTTAGAGCTGAGGCGTCTTTCTTCCGTGAGATGAGGAGAGCTCGGCGGTAGAGGGAAAGTCGTCGTGATGGATGACACAAATGCAGGCATTGATTGGCTCGCCGGCGCCGGGTCCTCAGTAGTCTGAAAATATCAACGTTCTGCAGACATCTTTACACGAGACGACTGTAAGCACCATATATTTTCAGCTCATGTTTCACAGAATTGTGAAACCTGTACAAATTTACATGTATGGTGAAACAAATTTCACAATAACTAACTTATTTATATTTTATCAAGTGATGAGCATCAAGTAGGATGTTACGGATCAATTTTAATTATTGATCAAATTAACCATCGACCGACACACAATCGAGCTAACAGGCACAGAGGCAATATGGCAGGAACAGAATTTTGATGTCTACTTGTATTTCAGCAATATTCACATCGAATGAAATTATGTGAGCATCAAAAAATTACAATCAAGCGTTACTAATGTAAATGACGAACAACTTGGTGGTAAGGTCGAGCTGCACACGACTGAGAAACGTGATATGGAGGCATTCTTACCGCAAGCTTGGTGCGAAAAACACGTCTCGATGTCGTAAGAGTAACCCAGGGAAAAATGATCAAAATAAATAAACCTGCTTAACCAACTTATGAAAGACGATACCTGAGATGGCATATCATCGACACCGTAGAGACGAATAACAGGTGGTGATGTGGTACCATCATCACAGTCGGTACAGATAACGGTAGGGATGGTGTGTTCAGACATGTTCGCCGTATGTTCATCCAGCACACGCTCGGTGTGTTCAATGATTTGCCGCACTGCTTTCTTGAGGCTGTTCGCGCGAGACATGAGCGCCTCCCGCTCCTGGAACACGCGCTGCAAAGTGCCATTTTATCACTAATAAGTTCAATCTTGGCACTCTAGCAAATATAAGTAAATTACTTAGCCACTATTAATGTCATCATTTAAACCATATCAAATACATATCAATTGGCTTGTCATTATTTAATTGAACCATTGCACCGTAAAATATACAGGTTTATTAGCTTGCTACTATTCAGTTCAACCGTTAGGGTACGCACGCAGTGAAAGCAAGTTTGCCCGCGCGGGCAACCTGCTCCAACCTGCCACAAGAATGAACATAGGATAATAATGTAAGTGTTCACAGTGAAAACCTGCACGAATAGGCTTCTGTATTCTATGGTTTCAGGCGCCAGCCTGAGCAGGTAACCTGCACGCTGGCAACCTACTTTCACTGTGTGCGTACCCTTACACCGTAAAAAATACAGGTCAATTAGCATGTCACTATTAAAGTCATCCTTTGCATCGTATCAAATAATAACTGACAATTAGTCACTATTAAAGTCATCCTTTGCATCGTATCAAATAATAACTGACAAGTTATTATTTGATTTGACCGTACCTAATACAGATAAATTGGCAGCAGCCTGGTCAGGCTCGCAAGAGGATTTACAGTTTTAACGGGCTCATGGTTTCTTTGTATTTCCTTCTCTTAATAATTACGTTGCACTAAAAGTTCGGCCGAATGCTCGTAGGGAAGCAATTTGCTAAGGGTAAACAAACAGGAAATTGACGTTAGAAGGCAAGGCTGCGTAGTCACAGACGCACTTACTTGACTTGCAGGCGAGACGTGCATGGTCGACGTCGGGGGCGAGGAAGACTCGTCAGGACGAAGGGTGCGCAGCAGGAGATCCAGTTTCTCCTTCAGCACCACACACTTTGCCGTTAGCTGTTCATCCACGCCCTCTGTGGGAAGAAGGGCGAGTTACACTACACATACACTATGGGCTGTGTAAAGTAAGAGAATGATTGGCAAGGGAAAATACTTTAGACTCGTCTGAGAAACGCTTTTATGGGTAGGGCCATACGAAGCACATAGCAATATCATACACTCGTTGCGTCCCTTCGACAGCTCTGGTCAATTACGCAATGCTGTAAGGCAATGCTCGTAACTGACAGATCATGGAAGCTGTTAGGGACTGAGCTGATCATACGTTTTTTTCATTTCTCTGTTAGAGTAAGTTTGACGTGACCTCGACTGAAGTTTGTAAGCAGGATTAGTATAGTGAATGCCGTGGATGCGTAAGGTATGTTCTGTGATAGGTGAATAAAGTGAATAAAGTTAACTATGTCTTGAATTAGCTGTGATTTCTTTTGTATATATTTGTGTAAATATTAATGAAGCGTTCAATAGCTATTCTTCAAAATTATTAGTTTGATTTGTCTGTTTAGCTCGGTTTTCCGTTAGATATTTATTTTGTTCAATTGTTCATTTCAGGAGTCTCAGTCTCAGTTTCCGTTTTCCAAGAAGTCTCGGTCCCGTATTTGTCCTGGAAGGTTTAGTTATAGTGGCATGCGAATTCAGTGCCTACCTATGATATTAGTTTGTAATAGACACCGAAGAAACTGTCTTATCACTGGCTACGGAAGAACCTATTCGATCACACGGCTGAACGATGCAGGGATGAAGATGCTTTATTCATTTCGTTGAGTGCGTCCCTATCAAAGCAGCAACACGTGATGGGTATTTTACAGCTAGGGTGAGCTAGAAACTGGAACATTAAATTTTTTACTCGTAAGAGTCGAAACAGGGTGCATGCTAGAGGTCAGCTGGGCCCAAGCAAACGTTCCTCTCCAGAGGGCAAGCATGCTAGATGTTACAGTAGACCTCCCTCAGAGTTCAGTCCCTACGTTCATCTCACTTGCAGCTCAGTTCCCAAGTTCATCGCATTTTTGTTCCCACGTTCATCTCACCTGCAACTCAGTTCGCACGTTCGCCGCATTTTTGTTCCCACGTTCATCTCACTTGCAGCTCAGTTCGCACGTTCATGGCGTTTTTGTTCCCACGTTCGTCTCACCTGCAGCTCAGTTCGCACGTTCACCGCATTTTTGTTCGCACGTTCGTCTCACCTGCAGTTCCAGCAGCCCCTGCAGACGCTGCAGTGTGCTGCTCTATCTTCTCGATGAGGCACTTGACAGTCTCGCACAGCACCCTGCAACACAGAACACGTCGCTGTGCGTTAGTTTCGGCGAACAATGCAAGAGTAACTTGATCGTTACATGCAGTGGAGTGCCCTTGTAAAATGCGTCAGTGGAGCAGGGAGCGATTTGAGTGCACGTAAAGTGCGTTAGCGGTGCAGGGAGCGATTTGAGTGCACGTAAAGTGCGTTAGCGGTGCAGGGAGCGATTTGAGTGCCCCGTAAAATGCGTTAGCGGAGACCTAATTAATTATCGAGTGAGCGGGAAGCCAGCAAAGTCAGCCTCAGAGAGTGCCTGGACCAGCAGGATCGATACTTCAAAGATAATATAATCAACGGAAGTCTTAGCCACAAAATTCGACTTGATAGTAAGCAACAGGGGCTGGTTTTGCAGTGGAATTTTTCTGTCTCGAGTGAACTGAATGTTTAAAGTCGGAAAATTTTAACTGGGTATCGAATGCTACTTTGCTCGAATGTCGACGATGTGGCTAAACAATAAGTATTAATGAGTGTAGATTTTTCAAGAGTATAGGAATAAAATATTTTTACACATGTGAAATCGAAGCATTGCACCAAGGACATAGTATCTGAATCATTACAAAAGATCCTGGATTTAATCCGGAAATTATTTTATTTGCGATGCGGCACGTTGGTTGTGATGACATCAGATAATTAAAGCAGCAACACGTGATGGGTATTTTACAGCTAATATAATAGTAAGATATTAAGTTGTGTTGTCGTAGAAGCAAGTATTAGACAATAAACAATAGGAAGAGCGAGCGTAGTAACGGAAAAGATCTTGCTGGTAACACGACTGAGTCAGTGACCAGTGCACACAAGCGATGAATTGAATTGTCCAGCAACTTTTGTTAACTTGAATGGACCCAAACTAGCAAAGTTTCCATGTATACACTTCAATTTAAGGAATAATTAATCAGTTTCGTTGTTTAAAGTAATAATAATATTCCTCCACCACAAAGTGCGACGAGTTAGGCAAAAAAAGGCGCCTATTAGGTTTCACAGTCAAATATTGTAATATTGATTTCGCAATATTGTAATATCAACTGCCTATAATTTTCCATTCATTGTCTGATACTGCAACATACATGGTCTTTTCTTGTAATGTTTCTTGTAATCCATGGTCTAAGATAACACCAAATATAGGGTTACTGAAGATATTGTCACTAAAGAAGGATATCTGGCGCTGGAGATAACAGTGTCGGTGTGCCGGCTGTGCAGCAGGGCGGATAGTTGTAAGATAACACCATGTAAGATAACAAGAAGACAACAAAGGCAGTTCACCTGGCGCTGGAGATAACAGTGTCGGTGTGCCGGCTGTGCAGCAGGGCGGAGAGTTGTAAGATAACACCATGTAAGATAACAAGAAGACAACAAAGGCAGTTCACCTGGCGCTGGAGATAACAGTGTCGGTGTGTGGGCTGTGCAGCAGGGCGGAGAGTTGTAAGATAACACCATGTAAGATAACAAGAAGACAACAAAGGCAGTTCACCTGGCGCTGGAGATAACAGTGTCGGTGTGTGGGCTGTGCAGCAGGGCGGAGAGTTGTAAGATAACACCATGTAAGATAACAAGAAGACAACAAAGGCAGTTCACCTGGCGCTGGAGATAACAGTGTCGGTGTGTGGGCTGTGCAGCAGGGCGGAGAGTTGTAAGATAACACCATGTAAGATAACAAGAAGACAACAAAGGCAGTTCACCTGGCGCTGGAGATAACAGTGTCGGTGTGTGGGCTGTGCAGCAGGGCGGAGAGTTGTAAGATAACACCATGTAAGATAACAAGAAGACAACAAAGGCAGTTCACCTGGCGCTGGAGATAACAGTGTCGGTGTGTGGGCTGTGCAGCAGGGCGGAGAGTTGTAAGATAACACCATGTAAGATAACAAGAAGACAACAAAGGCAGTTCACCTGGCGCTGGAGATAACAGTGTCGGTGTGTGGGCTGTGCAGCAGGGCGGAGAGTTGTAAGATAACACCATGTAAGATAACAAGAAGACAACAAAGGCAGTTCACCTGGCGCTGGAGATAACAGTGTCGGTGTGTGGGCTGTGCAGCAGGGCGGAGAGTTGTAAGATAACACCATGTAAGATAACAAGAAGACAACAAAGGCAGTTCACCTGGCGCTGGAGATAACAGTGTCGGTGTGTGGGCTGTGCAGCAGGGCGGAGAGTTGTAAGATAACACCATGTAAGATAACAAGAAGACAACAAAGGCAGTTCACCTGGCGCTGGAGATAACAGTGTCGGTGTGCCGGCTGTGCAGCAGGGCGGAGAGTTGTAAGATAACACCATGTAAGATAACAAGAAGACAACAAAGGCAGTTCACCTGGCGCTGGAGATAACAGTGTCGGTGTGTGGGCTGTGCAGCAGGGCGGAGAGTTGTAAGATAACACCATGTAAGATAACAAGAAGACAACAAAGGCAGTTCACCTGGCGCTGGAGATAACAGTGTCGGTGTGCCGGCTGTGCAGCAGGGCGGAGAGTTGTAAGATAACACCATGTAAGATAACAAGAAGACAACAAAGGCAGTTCACCTGGCGCTGGAGGTAACAGTGTCGGTGTGTGGGCTGTGCAGCAGGGCGGAGAGTTGTAAGATAACACCACGTAAGATAACAAGAAGACAACAAAGGCAGTTCACCTGGCGCTGGAGATAACAGTGTCGGTGTGTGGGCTGTGCAGCAGGGCAGAGAGGTGTAAGATAACACCGTGTAAGATAACACCGTGTAAGATAACAAGAAGACAACAAGGCAAGTCACCTGGCGCTGGAGATAACAGTGTCGGTGTGCCGGCTGTGCAGCAGGGCAGAGAGGTGCGCCGCGACGCTGTCCTCGTAGCGCGTCACCGTCGCCAGCAGCGGCTCGCAGGGCGGCGCCTTGGGGGGCGACAGCGGCACCGCGCTCACCAGGCCCATGATGCTCCATCTGATCATGTTACTTCAGCGTTATGGTGATGTTACTTCAGCGTTATGGTGATGTTACTTCAGCGTTATGGTGTGCAGTCACTTCATCTTTAAACCTTAGTTCACTAATATAGGTATATCATTAACGCATCTTTTGGCTCGAATGGCATTTGCGACGGGTGAGACATCCATAGCATACGGGTTAACCAAGGGCGCGAGAGCACGCCTAACGCCTAACGATCGAGCACCGCAGGGTCTCACCTGTCGAGCATCTTGGTGGTGGCGCGCTCGTAGCGCTCCAGCACGTGGGGCAGGTTGGTCTCGTCATCGAACGCGCTGCCCCATCCCAGCACGCGAGCCAAGTCGTTGCCTGTGCCCAGGGGCAGGATGCCCACCTGACATTGATTCTGTTAACAAACAATTAGATCTTTACTACACGAGTATGGGTTAAGCCAAGGTGTGGCAAATGAAGTAAAAATATGAATTACAGTCTTGATAACAGTGTACCAAAGACTCCCAGTCGCCACAGAGGCAGCCAAAAGAGTTGCCCATGTAAATGCATACCTATAGATAACCGGTAATGTTACGAACACCGAAAGTCCCACCGACAAGAAACAAACCCATTGTCTCGATCCCTTGTATTTGTCGATACAGTATGCATGGTTCACGAGCTTGCGTCGAAGAACTATGCACGTTTCTTAAGATTGCAGCGCCATATCATAAGAAAAGTAGTAGAAAACGGAACACAGGTAAATAGATTGAAGACACCAACACGGAATAAGATTTTTGTACGGGCAGCTACAATGCAAATCGGCGTGAGTTGTGAAATCGTCACAAATATGTTCGAAAACTTGCAGAACTTAAAGAAATTTTCTCCTTAATTACAGTTGGTATCCATGTTTTACTTGCGACATACGGCTTCTAGACATAAGGTTGAAAATTAGTTTTTGTTTTCAATTCTACTTATTCAAGCGTGAAGAAGCACTAACCGCGAATCTAATTTAAATTAATCTCCTAAATTAATCTCCAGTGGAATTGATGCACTATTTCCGGGAAAAGTTAGCATAAAATTAAGCGAAGAAGCTAAAATAAAGCAAGATTATTTTAATAAAATAACAGGAAAGGAGAATAATCGCAGATTCTCGATTTAAATACTTCATGATAAAAGCATTGAAAAACTCTCTATTTACTCAATTTTAGTTGGCCCAGTTGAAGAGCAGCAGAGTGGCGAAAACAAGATTTGAATTCATTTCAACTTGATTTGCCAGAGCATGTAACCATGTTTTCTCTCTTGGGCTGGCTGAGGGCGTACCATAACTAAAACCTTTCTATCGCCTGTTTCTCCAATTTGCTTTTTTTTTTTCTTTCCTAGGACGTTACACGTTCTCCAATGCCCTCATGTGCGTGCGCGCAACCGTTGGTGGGGTTTTTCTTTAATTATGGAGTATCCACCGTATTATTATGAATAAAAAATATGAATATGAATATGTTAAACAGGCAAGAATGCCTGCTAAAGATTCGTAACGTGGAGTTTGCTTGGATCACTCAGTCACCTGGTCGGCACTCGCACTCGGATCGACAATCGCGGCGACGCCGAAACAAAAACAGCTATGCGCCATTGGCGCTCTAAATAAATAGTACATAATTTTTCAACTTGAACCGGTGATAAAATGTGTCTATAGGCACTCACCGTCATGTGCAGCTTGTCGATTTCTGACAAGACCCNCTACACCCGTCTCACCCAATAGCAGGTCCTATAGCCACCCGTCTCATAGGATAAAGGTCCCTACACCCGTCTCACCCAACAGCAGGCCCTATAGCCACCCGTCTCACCCAATAACGGGTCCGCCACTCATGAGATCGAAGACCTGGGCAGGGTTGAGGAGCTGCTTGAAGCGCCTGAGGAAGCGCACGCCTTGGTTGTCGCCGCTCTTGCTGTTCACGAAGACCAGCAGCGGCGAGCAGGACTGCGGCCGCCGTGCCTCCCACGACTCGTCCGTGCCTGCGAGCACAAACATTTCAAACGCAGATGTTAGAGCAGCAAGTAAATAAAGTTTATTTAGCGTATAAGTATACAAGTATATAAAGTTTATACTTATAGAAGTATATAAAGCGAGTATTAGATTTCTAAATTCAGCTGTTAGACCAGCAAGCGCTATATCATATAAAGGGAGTATTAAATTCTAAAATGCAGGTGGAAAGCATCAGGCATTATATCATTCCTATTTTGATGTGAAAACTCCAAAAAATGGTTAATACTCAGGAAACTGAAATGTGTGCTCAGCGTCTTTTCGTATGCTATTGTTGTCGTTTATACTATTGTTTCTCTTTACTGCGCACTCTGTCACCTATTCTTTCTCTCCCACATTCCCTAGTGGTACTGTCGCTTGCTCCCACTAGAGTGGTCCTCATCATCATTAGATACGGTACTATTACATCGTGGAAAGCATGCATAGTCAACTAAAATTGAGAGTTTAGTCAGAGAAATTGGTTCGAAGCAAACATGATAATCACTAAGTTTCTAGGCTTTGATATAATTAATTTGATGAAATTTCGGGTCCATTTGAAACAATTATAGCGACACAATACAACAGGGACTCTGCATGGCTATGGCTACAAAATACAACAGTTCTGGTGTAAGGAATTTACACAATCGAAGAATTTGAATTTTTTATTTAACGAACGACTGAACAGGAAATTTTTAGCAGCACAGTCCAAGGCTCATAATAGAAAAAAAGTATAGGATGCTCCATAAGTTTTAAGTTTAAAAGTTTCGTTAAAACACTCCCCAACTGCCACTTTTGTACCAGCATAGCAGTTCAGTTGGAGGTATAATCTAGATCGCTTGCGAGCATGGTTCATTTGATGGCTCCTGGTCGGCTTCTCAGGTGACGTGATGGTGACGCAATGAATCGGCAATTAATAGAGTATGTTAAGGAGCGTCGACTGCAGTTGTACCGGTGCAACATGAAGATAATAAAGGAGGAAATATGATATAATTAGGCTCCAGGCACATGAACTGGAAATCTATGTGCAGATATTACACTGATATATGAATTGAGGCTAGATTAAACAACCAACCTGAGGTTTTTATAATGCCCAGGGTGAAAAACTTTCTGTTATCAATGATTGAAGGTTCAAATTTAGAAATATAGTGGAAATCAGTAAGAGGAGTAGGAAATTGGACGGAAGAAGACAGTAAGAATAGCTAGAGGTTTATCTGCGCGCGAAAGAAGAGTAAAGACCTGAGTTAGGATAGAACAATCCACTGCAGTATTGGGCGAACTGTGAGCGTGAACTGCCCAAACCCTGTATTTGGTTTAAAAGTAAAATTTGATCTAGATTCAATTGCAATTTAATAGAGATTATATAGAGATTTGATAGAGATCAAAGCTCCCGTCAACTTGCCGCCGGCCAAAGCTCCCGTCAACTTACCGCCGGTCAAAGCTCCTGTCAACTTGACACCGGCCAAAGCTTTTGTTAACTTGATACCGGTCAAAGCCAACGTCAACTCGCAGGCGAACAAAACACGTACCAACGACACAGGATAAAATTCTTCGAATGATGACTTATATATTAAAGAACTATCTACACTGGTATATAATTCACTCAGTTATAATTCCAAAATATAACGCGAGATTTACAGAAAAAATCTAGTTAGTATTTTTTATATTTTTGGTGCACATATCCGACATGATACGTTCACTAGTTCATATACTATCAGTCCTGAGTTGGACCTAAAGTCCAACTGTAAACCAAGTCCAGGAGACGCAGCGTCCGTGACGTCTGGTACAGCGGGGGAATAGCAGCCCTGGTGACTATACTTTAAAAAAAAAAGTTAAGAGATTGTAGGTTCATCAGCCAACCATTGACGGCCTTTCAAGCAAAATCCACCAATCATAGACAATAAAATAGAGCGTAAGTTCTTATGTTAACTTAGCGAATTTTGAAAGTATGGCCCCTGGTGGCCATACTTTCAAAAAAAGTTAAGAGATTGTAGGTTCATTGGCCTATCATTAACGGACTTTCAAGCAAAATCCACCAATCATAGACGAGAAAATAGAGCGTAAGTTCTTACGTTAACTTAGCGAGTTTTGAAAGTATGGCCCCTAGTGGGCTAGTACGTCATAGCAACAACTGTCAGCCGCGACACTATAAGGCAGGCAGGTGGTTAGCAGGTCTGGCAGTGCAAGTTAACAGGTCTGGCGATGCAAACTAGCAGGTCTTGTAGATAGCAGATCTGACAGTGCAGGTTAGTACGTCCGGTAGCGCGGGTTAGCTGTAACTCGATAAGCAGCCAGTGTAACAGAACAAGTCTTCCCAAATAAACAGGCTTGTGTTAGAAACGTAAGATGCAACACGCACGCGTAGCCGTTCGAGTGTCAGCCTTCCTTAGTATCCTTAGCGTCCTTAGAATCCATAGTGTACTTAGCGTCCTTAGAATCCATAGTGTCCTTAGAATCCTTAGCGTCCTTAGAATCCTTAGTGTCCATACTAAGTGTTTCGGACGTATCAGTCCCAGGTCACGCTAAAGACCAAACCGACCCTTCATAACCAAGGCTGAAGGACTCGACAAATTTCCCACCAAGGCTTGCAGTCCGAATAAGTCTGATGATACTTGAGTTTCTCAAAGTTTATTACGAGTCTACTTTTTGACCGTAATGACACTTCAGGTGCGATATAAACTTATATTCACGTCAGCAGCCCTGGAAAACATCATAATAGAACGGCGTCCATCATCGCGGGTGACGTCCATCTTCCCGACGTACGCACGTCGTCCATCACGGCCCCCTGCGAGCATTACGCACCACTGAGTTCCCCCCGGGCTGGCCCTCCCTCTCTCACCCGTACATCACCCCCCTCCACCGCTGTACAGTGACGCACGTGCGACGTCACCCGCAGCCTCGTGACGTCATACATCGATTTGCTGCCCCTCCTGCTGCTGCTGCCCTGCCCCTCCTGCTGCTGCTGCCCTGCCTCTTCTGCTGCTGCTGCCCTGCCCCTCCTGCTGCTGCTGCTGCCCCTCCTGCTGCTGCTGCCCTGCCCCTCCTGCTGCTGCTGCCCTGCCCCTCCTGCTGCTGCTGCCCTGCCCCTCCTGCTGCTGCTGCCCTGCCCCTCCTGCTGCTGCTGCCCTGCCCCTCCTGCTGCTGCTGCCCTGCCCCTCCTGCTGCTGCTGCCCTGCCCCTCCTGCTGCTGCTGCCCTGCCCCTCCTGCTGCTGCTGCCCTGCCCCTCCTGCTGCTGCTGCCCTGCCCCTCCTGCTGCTGCTGCCCTGCCCCTCCTGCTGCTGCTGCCCTGCCCCTCCTGCTGCTGCTGCCCTGCCCCTCCTGCTGCTGCTGCCCTGCCCCTCCTGCTGCTGCTGCCCTGCCCCTCCTGCTGCTGCTGCCCTGCCCCTCCTGCTGCTGCTGCCCTGCCCCTCCTGCTGCTGCTGCCCTGCCCCTCCTGCTGCTGCTGCCCTGCCCCTCCTGCTGCTGCTGCCCTGCCCCTCCTGCTGCTGCTGCCCTGCCCCTCCTGCTGCTGCTGCCCTGCCCCTCCTGCTGCTGCTGCCCTGCCCCTCCTGCTGCTGCTGCCCTGCCCCTCCTGCTGCTGCCCTGCCCCTCCTGCGGCTGCTGCTGCCCTGCCCCTCCTGCGGCTGCTGCTGCCCTGCCCCTCCTGCTGGCAGCGCAGCAACAAGCTGATATTCGTGTCTAATAGTTCATATTCAATACGGTTGTATAGTTAGCAGATTTCTGCCGGCTAACGATTACGTAAATCTGAATCTTTCCAATTCTTGTGCATGGTAAACGGTTATATTGCTCGCTCGCACTGCGCGGATGTTCGGAGGTAGTCGAAGGTTCTGAAACATCCGACATGATAATCCATCCTACAAATGCTATCCGAGGAGATGCAGTCTCTTACACTTGGACTGATCCTCGTGTCCCGAGAATTGAATCATTTACATTAAGAAAATTCGAGTGTCTGCAGCTTGAAATATTTTAGCTAGATAAATTTCCTGGTATCCTGGGGACATTAGCATTATTTCAGCTAGGATTAAATAATTCACATCCTGCCATGAGTCACAGTCAAAAANTTGCTCGATCAATTTCCTGGTATCCTGGGCACATTAGCATTATTTCAGCTAGGATTCATAATTCACCTCCCGCCATGAGTCACGGTCAAAAATGATCGCAATCACACTACAGAGTATAGAGTAACCAGCTAGCTTTGGCGGAGAATCTATGGAACATTGTTTGTTAGAGGCAAAATCCTGTTCATTACTATACAGGTGCATGATGCGTTGATAAATATATTCATTACTATGGTTGCATAATTTGTTGAAAAAATCTAGCGAGGTCGGAGTTACGTCCAGCTATGGCACTGAGGAGACAATTTGTGCGTCGAATTCGACGGAAAGCGTCGAGTTGAAATGCAATTTTCAAAAAGCTACAAAAAGAATTTATAAATTTTGTTGAAATGTATAATTCTGTAATCCATCTCAATCGCCGTAGACAAACGGTGAAGAGGTACGTGAGTGTTATCCGAAGATATCCTGGCCGTCCTTCGATGCTGCGGGTAATCTTTTTTTTTAACGGCCCGCCAGCTTGTTGATATCGATATTTTTCAACTGAATATTGTCATCATTATAAACAATATTGAATGAATATTTGTATAACTATAGACATTCTTAACTGAATATTCTCATTATTATAGATCAATATTCAGTCACGCTAATGACACCGGCCATCGCGACACCGGAACGCTGGAGCCACAAAGTCTCATTTTTGTCATGTTCAGGAGTAGATATTAAGGGCGGTGCGTCGCACAATTTAATGTGAAGGACAAGACCACAGTTTTGAATCTAAAGCTTGTTAACATAGCCCGCGGAGCAAGTGTGCAGGAGTTTGGCATTATTGTTTTTGGTGCCTATTTTTAATCAATTATACGTGGCCACGAACGAGCAGTCATTAACTTCTACCTAACTTTATTCTCCGCGGCAGGATATAACGATGATTTATTCTTTGCCTAAACCATCAGTTTCATTCAGTCTTTCTCGCTTTGTTGAGAGAAATTCATGTATTCCGAATTCATATTCATGTTATCGTTTGCACTGAAGCTGTTGCAGGGCGAGAATGTTAATTAAATTGAGGTGCTTTGGTCGTGCCAAGAAACCTGTAATAAGATATTGCGTTCACGCGCGAGCATTGTGATAAGCATTGATATGTTGTGTCTCGGGTAACTCTATTAACGCTTCACCAACATGCATGTCCACGTAGTTATTGCTTGCTCTATTAGAGGCTATGACGTCTACGACCAGATCATTCCAGGGTTATTATTCTGACGTAAATAAATTTGTGATATGGGCATGTCGACCAACCGCCTTACAGTCAGAAAAATGAGTGGAACTATTTTCAATATCGAGGCATGTAGGTGATAAGTCCTATCTTGGGAGTAATAAAATGTCTCAAGTGCACTATTTTCACACTGTAACCGTTCATTGTCATTGAGAGTCTACCCGCGCAAAGGTTCATCTACAACCTGACGGTTTCCGCGATAGAAACCTGTCGACTGTAGCGACAGGTTTCTGCGACAGTCGAAATACCATAACGTAATAACGCACATTGTATCATAAACCATAACGTACAGCACCACCGCGAAATATACCATAACGTACAACATTATACCATAAAATATAACGTACAACATTACACCATATACCATGACGTACAACATTATACCATATACCATAACGTACAACGTTATACCATATACCGTAATGTACAACATTATACCATATACCAAAACGTACAACATTACACCACAAACCATAATGTACAGAACCATCGCGAAATGAATAATGAGCAGCAGCGAGTTACTTCACAGCTCACCCTGTCTCCTTTGTGCCATCAGGACAGGATGGGCAATTCATAAATAAATGCACATATCACATAGGGTATAAAGACGTACCTATAACTATATTAACCGTCAATATTTTTATTTCTGATACTTTAGAACTGCTCAAGTTACCAGGCCGGATCGATTTAAAAAACTTAACACCATTCCTAGAATTATTAGACCCCCTGCAGCACCACTGGTGGACCCCCCAGGTGACGGACCCATGACCCCCACACCCCCCTACCCCCAGGTGCTCCATGATCACCTG